TTTCGAGCTGTAGGTAATCTATACTAATATTATAAAGAGGTAAAGTTTGTGATCTTGTGAGTTTGTGAGTTTGTGGGTTTGTGAGTTTGTGACGTTGTAGGGTGTAATCTCTGGATCTACTAAACCGATTTTCAAAATTCTTTTACCAATAGAAAGCCACGTTCTTTCTGAGTGTCATAGGCTATATATTAATCCCAAAAATGAAAAGACTTTTTCGTGGAAGTCGGATTTGCAAAGTAAGTCGGAGAAAAAACGATCGAACGAAAACGTTTCTTACGAACGCTGCCTTAACGATGAGAGATATATGATTATGTTTTAGTGTAAAGTTGTAGAGCTTAATAATGCCTACAAAAATGTCAGCGACAGCATATGTCTAACTTTTATATTTAAGTCACAAAAAGTAGTTTTTTATATTGAAAGAATAATTTAAATCGGTAGGTCATGTTTATTATCAACAATTATGAATTCTTATCAAAATAAGTAATTTTATCGTCTAAAATGTTTAAAACAAAAGACTTTTCCCTTTTACTGCATATAATTTGGACTAATGGGTAAAGAGATAATACAACATATTCGTAGGTATGGACGAACCCGAGCGAGCTGTTTGTCTGTTTTTCTGTTTGTACGGGCTAATCTCCGAATCTATTAGACCGATTTAAATGAAATTTTGCATGGTGGTACCTTATATCCCCGGGCAACATCTTCGATACTTTTAATTCCGGAAAATTAAAGAGTTCCCGTGGGATAGTTAAAAAACTATAACAACTTATACAACTTAGTACACAAAAACTACTGATTGGATTTTAATGAAACTTTACAATAATATAGTTCCATACATGACAAAAATAAATCAGTTACTTTTGATCCCGGAAAATTAAAGAGTTTCCGTGGGATATTTAAAAAACTTACGCACCTAATTTAGTAAAATTTGGCATGCTGATACCTTATATTGCCGGTCAAACAACAGGTTACTTTTCATCCCGGGAAAATGAACGGTTCCCGTGGGATAGATCTGTTTGTGCTTTTCTAGAATAGTAATAAATAAACTAAATCTTTCCTCTATGTAATATTAGTATAGAATTATTATTATTGTTTTATTATTTTTGTTTTTCAACAACCTATATTTTCCACACCCCTTCCCTCTTACAGTTTGCCAATTCCAACACCCCTAAGGTTGGCTGCAACAGATCCCTGTTTTTGCGATAACGCCGCCTCCTGTACATAGTCCTATTTCCATTTTTCTTGTACTAATTTTTCTAATTTTTGTGGGTGTACAATAAAGAATATTTATTATTATTATTCATGCTATAGAACCCTCAGTGTGGGAATAAGACTCGCATCGGTCCAATTCTTTCAAGGGAATGAGCAGCATTGCCTCACAGTAAAAAGTATTCTTTATGTTGACCTAGATTATTATCAGCTATCACCATGCAAAATCCCTTCAAAGTACGTCCAGTGGTTTATCTGTGGTGCGGTAACAGACAGACAATAATTTTAAATGTGTCATGTTGTACTTATACAAGTAGCAAGACTTGCAGCTAGTATAAAAGATGTATGTCCCCGACTGCATAATACTATGTTCCTTCCTCATCTTCTTGTTCTTATCTTATTAGTTCGCTTTTTACGCAGTCTGGTGTTTTTAGTTTTGTAATAATATTTTTTATTGTGATCGCCTTTCAAAATCTTTCATTTTGAAACCCCAACCCATAGGTTTGGAAAAAATATTTCAAAATACTTAAGTTTTAATACACCTATGATATTTGCGATATACTATACCTATGATATATGCATAAAATTCAGTTAAGCTGTTTAAAAATTACAAGGAACAAATAACGTTATATATAGGGGCATTAGCTCCTGGCATATCAATGCCAGCCAGTTCCTTTCCTTATATATTTTTTTGATTTATAACGATTAAAGTTATAATTTCAATTTAAATTTTATTCTTTAACAACATCGGATAACACTTGTCGCTACTGTTTTTCTGCTATCTATACATACGTATAATAACATAGTAACTTAGCGAGATCCTTACATTAATATTTTAAAAAAATGACTGTAATGTATTTTGTGTAGTATATAGACCCCAAAACTACAGTTATTAATTTTTTTGTTTGTTTGTTTGTTTAGTTGTGCTCGTTTCACGCAAAAAGTACTGAACCGATTAATACAAAATATTGTGTACTGATTGATAACTTATTATTTCGATCAACATTTACGATTCCTGTTACTGGAAAAAAATCTTTCCCTTTCATTTCCTCAAGAAAACATCAAACTGATTCTGTGGAGTCGTCCTTAGAAATGTACCTACCTACCTACATGGCTAACACTGACTACAACTTAAGAGATACATCAAAACAATGTAGTAGAAAATTGTAGGTCTTAAAAAGGCTTACAAAAAATCTGCGTAAAGCATAAGTCTTTCTCCTAAGATACCTCGCAATAACTATTTAAATCTATTTAAAACGTACCTAGACATGTACCCGTGCGAACCGACAGTATAAAGTCGATAAATATTTATTTTTTCAAATTTTTGCTTTTACGAACTGAAATATCGACAATAATTATTTTAACAAAAAATTGGTGCAAATGCAATTACATAAAATTTGCAACAAAATTGGATAGGTCAGACATCTTGTATTATTAATAGTTAATAGAGTTACAGACTTATTTAGTCATATTTTATTAAATTTTCAACTATATTATAAAATATATTTATAAAGGACATGAAATATCATTAAAATAAATATTCGTGAGTCTGTAACTTTGTTATTATTGATGATATGAAAAAATTGACACATACTTTTTTATAGGATCTTAAACGCACTACAAATTTGCCATTTAACATTTTTCTCTAACTCTTACAGTTTAGCTAAAAAATGCAAAAAACCGTAAATTTGAACTTCAAAGCCATATAACAAATCAAATATTGAAGATAGAAATTCGACTCAATGTAACTTTTTGTAGTAAATTTAATACTAAAAACGGTTTCATTCATTTTTTTGAAAAATATTTTCGTCACAATTTGCAGGACAAAAAAGTGTTCAAAATCATATTTTCCATACAATTAGGTAGTATGAGAAAACTTAGTTCAATGCAGAACCTCTTAAGCCTAGTTCGCATTAAGCTAGTATTTTAGTCTAGTAGCGAGTAATTAAGTAGCTAAATTACTCGCTACTCACCAAAAATCGATCGCACTTTGTTCGAGTACAGTCTACAAGTGAGTGGTGTTTTGCAAGATGAACAGCCTACAACGCAATAAAGTAAATAAACTGATTAAGCTGATCTAAGAATCTAAGTATATAATAAGTATATAAATATAATAAGAAATCTAAGTATGCGGAATGTTTCATATGCTTGTTTTTATAATGCAAGGACCTAATATTCCACAAGCATTCGTGTTCAACATATTTCGAAACAAATTTAAAAGTCATTTCTTCGCTCCAGCGAAACGACATTATGTCGGCAACTAATGAACTCGACTAATTCGAAAGGTTCGTACTTGTTTAGCCGGTGAACCAGTGAACTCGGACGCGTGGTGGGGGCTGCTACTCGCTCAAAAAAATAGAATAAAATGGATTGACTCGACTAAATTACTTACTAAACTAATCGACAAAATTTTTAGTGTTCAGACACGTTTAGTTACTAAATTACTCGCTACTAGACTAAAAGCTTAATGCAAACTAGGCTTTAGAATTGGAATTTTGAGCTCCGCTTTAACAGGAGCTTTATTTGGACATTTTTTGACATATTTTGGGGTAAGAGCGAAGAAAAACAAATCGTCATTTTTTGGCACACCCATATATATATATATATATATATATATATATATATATTTTCCTAAAAAAATAGTTTAAGATAAATGTTTAAATATTAATGGCATAACTAAATCATAATAAAGTTGGCTCAAGTTACCCATGACTGCTTTCTGTCAATTTAGTTATCTTAATCGTTAAAGCATTTTAGATAGTCATAGATAATAATAATGTTTTAAAAAATCACGTCATCGTCGTGTAAATATTTTCGTTACTTTAATAATAAAAAAAATCAATAAACTTATCGCAATATGTCAGGACATTAACACACAACACCATCTAGTTCCATGGTAAGCTACGAGGCTTGTGTTATGGATACCAGATAGTTGATACATTATACATATATAACTTTAAATACATACATATTATAAATATAAACATCCATGACTGGAGTACAAACATTCGTGCTCATCACACAAATGAATGCTCCCCAGCGAGACTCAAACCCGCGACCGCTGGCGAAGCAAGTAGGGTCATTACAAACTGAGCCAAACGTGTCGTCGACAATTGCAATATTTACAAACAGAACATATTATTTCGAAGCGTAGCTCTAAAACCAAGTAGGTAGGTACGTTGCGCGGCACGTTAGATGACTGATGTAAGAGCGCCATAAACTTTATTTTATTTTAAGCATTTATTTTATACTAGTATTGGCCGCGGCTCCACCCGCGTTCAAATGACCAAAAACCAAATACATAGGTTTTACGTATTAGTATACTCTTACATTGCAGTTTTTGTATTTTTTCTCAGAAATGAGATATTTTACCGCGGTAAAAAGTATCCTACATGTTGACCCGGATAACCAGTTATCACCATACCAAATTTCATTACAATCCCTCCAATGGTTTTTCTGTGATGCGGTATCAGACAGGCACAAAAATTCTAAAAACTATAGATTCGGAATCTGTATCGATAATAGTGTTTATTTCAATAAGATTTTCCAAAACATATTTAATGTACAGATTCGACTTAGTTACAATTTTATTATATGTATAGATGAAACTATAATTATCATTAGAGTTATATATAATTGAAATTAGTATTTTAGAGGGTACATAACTGAGTTAATGTTATTGAAGAATGCACAGAGTGCGATTAAGGGATTAGGCAAATGAGGACTAGCATAACATATTAATGAAAAAAATAGATAGATTTTGTAATTAAATGAATTTAAATCAAATGCAGACGAAAACAAGATGAAGTTGCAGTGCTGGAGCAAACTATTCGTACAAGGAATGAGATGCACCGTGCTGCCGGCGTGGAGCTGGCCGCCACCTGCCACATCTGTCTTAAAACCAAGTTCGCGGACGGAGTGGGCCACTCCTGCCACTACTGCAGAGTCAGATGCTGCGCGAGATGCGGCGGGAAGGTCACTTTGCGATCTAATAAGGTAATACAATTATATAAAATGCTAAATTTAGTATTCAATCTCTCAATGCTATTTTGCTTGCAGTATCACATAATCTTTTCCCCTTAGCTAATTTAGATGATCAAATAAAACACTTTCATTCAATGCAAATGCACCGGAATTTTTTCAAAAATATATTTTTACTAAATTGAGCCTTAAGACGCCAAGTGAATTGCATGTTTTGAAACATTGTTTGATAATTTCTAGCAGAACTAGCAAATTACAATCTAGTTTTTGGGTAGGTATTATAAGAATATTATAGGTATTAGACCACAATTTACACCACCAATAACCATTTTCTTATAATAATACATTTAAAATTACTTTCGGTAATCTTCAGAAGTCAAAGTCCCTACATAACTGCCAGGATATTTTAGGTCATATAAATTTACAGGTTATATGGGTATGCATACTCTGTCGCAAAAAGCAAGAACTTTTATCAAAAACTGGTCAATGGATACATAAAAGTGCCGGTCAAGATTCAATGCTATGGCGTATGGAATCAGACTTAAGAGGCTTACCGCCTCAAGTGGATGTTTCGTTGGACAAAAGACCCAAATTAGAAAGGGCGCATAGCGCTGCGGAAAAAGAAAACCAACCACTACAAAGATCGGGGAGTGCCTTACGGAGGCAATACAGCCAGCAGGAGGCACGGTGTTATGGAGAGTTAGAAGGACTAGCCCGGACTCACCCTCATCTGGTGCATCCGCGACAAAAGGCGGCATATGGTGTGGAGGACTCTGGAGCATCCCTTCCGGCCACGCAGCTGCTGCCTCTGCCTCATACCGGCGTGCATCCCCCTTTGCCGCCTCGTTCGTCGTCATCAGACGATGAGGTACCGGAATGCATCTCCGATGAGAACGACGAGTATCGCGATCGTGGTAAGTGAGCACGCACTCCCAGCTGGCCCATCCCACCCGTACCATCACGATTCCCTTCCATCCGAGCGATTTTTATTTGTATCACCTTACACGACAGCTACACTATACAACACGCAAAATACCGTATGTTTAGCGTATTTATTAGTTCAATATATTAAAACTTTATATTAATTTGTCTCCTAACATTTTTCAGCGATAAAGTTAAGGTGTTCCGTGCGAGGTTTAAAATTCTATTAACGATTGTAGCTCTTAGTTAGTAACAGGTTAATAAAGAAAAAATAAGCTAATTTTCTCACAATATCTTATATTCTAGAGCACCTAAACTTATCCATAGGTACATTTACATATTTTATGTTAACATCATGTCTGTCCATTTAGTACATACATACATATGTATGAGAGAATAAATAAGTAAGTACTTTGAATAATCATTTCTCCAATAACTTGTTTTTTTTGTAAACGGAAATCTTTTTTCAGATAGAGAGCCTGTTAAATGATTGTATAATAAATGTACAATCGTGGATGTCCAAAATGTTACCAGTTTATTAGAAAAATGTTTTATTTTGCTGTTAGCAATAAAGTGATATGCTATAAACGCCGCGAGCGTCTCGCGCGCCTCTGCTATACGCCCGGTTCCGCGCCGTGCTCCGCGCCGCGTGATTTCGATCCTCACCGCCATGCACTGTTCGCAGGTAATGCTAGAGATAGAGCTCCCGGAGGCACAAGAAACCAGCGCCAAGCGATATTAGATGAAAAAATGAAAAAGTTCTTATCGGTGAGGGGTCGTTTCGCGAAAATAATGCGTTGTAAACTAAGCTAATTCTAGATGTTTCAGTATTGTTATTGTTTATCGTCTAGTAACATCTACTTCTCTGGTCGGCAACCTGTGATCACTGTTGAGTTTGACTGAATCTCTATCCTTTCTAATACTTGAACTATTGCCATCATTGAAATCATATGTGTAGGCTGAAGTACATAAACGATATATGGATATTTATTACTAAAAAATAAAAACCCCTCAAAGTCTTCTGATATTGATACAATTAACAGAAACCTATTCTTGATCTAATTATTACATATCTAAACAATGTACTTCTGCCTCCTTTTGTTGCTTGAACCAGTTTAATCATTATTTGTCTATTTTTAATTCTTCGATATATTTTGGAATAATATGAATGCTTCTTTTCTGGTCATTGCTCTGTATATTATTTCAACAATAATCAATTTGTTTTTGTGTTAAAAAATCTTAATTTTTTTATAATTTATTAAATTTATAATTGGAGCATAATACAGTTTGATTTGATGTTTATTAATAGATATTGTTTAAATTAAAATGCGTTTAAATCTCCACTGATCAGATAAGAATGCAAAAAAGTGCAAAAAAGTATGATGGTGAATGATTTTCTCTTACTTGTTTGTTGTGGTTCAAGCAATGCATGTTTGGGCGAAAAGAAGTGTAACATACTTGTTAAATTATTAATATTTTAGATATTGTGGCCGTCTTTCTTTTATAATTGTTATTTTATTGTTTGACTTGAATAAGTTGTCACACGTTCTTTCCGCTTGTGCGTGATCACTGCTTTTAACTGCGATTTATTTATTTTGGTGCTAATTTTCAAAGTTAGGGTCGCAATTTAGTTGGGTTAAACTCGTAAATTCAAAATTTCAAAATACTCGTGATAAAAAATTTAATTATGCAATATGCATACAATACGGTTCCGGGCGCGTACGGGCGCGCAAGTCGTTGGGCGGCCTCAGTCTATGGCCTGAAAAGTCTAATAAGGCTCTCGTTGCTATTTATGCGTTGTCATTCTTAGGACAACTTGAGGCGTGTTCATCTCTCCGGCACCCGCACCTGCGCAGCACCAGCGTGGCTGCCAACAATTATTACAATTTGACTAATCATTCGCCGGCCTCGTACATGCCGGAGGCGCGCGGAGCGTTCGATTCGGCAAGAACGGCGCCGACCGGCGGCCGTAGCTTCGACTCGGTCACAGACTGTCGGTGGCGCGCTCGCGACGACGGCGAGGGTTCGTACTTACGGCCGTACGTCCCTGACGGGTGTCCGCGTCCCGATCGTGCCGTATATAAGAGTGCCTACTTGTGGGAAGATTCCTCCGATAACAGACGTTTCACGGAGAGGAGAAAAAAAACTGTGCGCTTCGACGGGCACGAGGGGGCTGCGACGTTCCCTCGCGGCGGTCGCGACGCGTCCGGCGCTCCGCACGACTGGGCCTCCTTGCGCTGGGAGTCCGAGCGGCAGACGAGCCAAGACTCCGCCACTAAAGACTCGGGCATCGATACCTCTAGCACTTTTACTTCCAGTGAAGACTCGAACAGGGGCGATTGCCCTAAGGTACTTAATGACTATTGCACATTTATGTACTATCGGTACTTAGCTTGCTTTTAAAACTGAGGAACTCTCTTTAATACCATTGTCACATGGTTTGCTAGAATAGGTTTAATGGTATAAATAAATAGAATCCTATAAATATTATATTTATCTGCGTAGGTAGCTATTAATTACTCGAATATTAAAACGATATGTTTATATCAAAAAAAAAATAATTTTAAGGTATGTATTCGGGCTGTATGATAAAACATATTTGTGTTTGGCTGCAGCATGATTGCATTGGCAGGCATGTCTTATACTAAGTGTGCACTTTCGTTATTGCGTCACACTTCTAGCCAAATTTGCTAAATATTCATGATTTTAAAAGCTTTTGGTCGACTTTATCTGAATATGTTCCTTTTCTAACAGTTTCCACTGAACTGGCAAGTATCCGCTGATGGTACACGTATGGTGGGACACATGGTTTTACGCAAAGCCATAGTGGAAGGCAATTCTCACTCTTCAGCGGCTATTCTAGGGCTGAAAGTAGTTGGAGGCAAGATGCTGCCGGACGGTACACGTGGTGCTATTGTAGAAAAAGTCAAGAAAGGTTCTATAGCGGACTTGGAAGGACAACTTCGAATAGGTTATTAATTTTTTTAGAAAAACGTTACTAAATTTCACATAACTTCATACAGAAAAAAACAACAAAGGAATTAAATAATATATCTCACTACGCAAAAATTTAAATTGTTTCCTATTGTTTACAATAATTAAAATAGAATATAATGAAAATACATTACTTATGTATTTATAAAGGAGATGAAGTGTTACAATGGAGTGGAGTGCCGCTTCAAGGGCGCAGTGCTGAGGAAGTTGCAGCGATAGTGGCTAACAGCAAACATGACTCGCACGTCGAGCTCGTGGTCTCACGCCTGCTGGCACCACCCCGACCTGTGCAATCTTGGAGAGGTCATAAAGGTCAGTTGTAGTAAAATAATGATTTAAAGAACCACCAACACGAATACTACTAATGCTTTCTTAGATTTACGCGAATACTTGACATTTTAAATAAAACTATCTTTTCGGATTTTTTCGCGAATTTATTTTGATTTTTGGTTCCCGACGTTTCGAATGCTTTACAGCAATCATCGTCACGGGAGAGACCAACACCAACACCAACTTCAAAATATCCTTAATAATTTATGAGTATTATCTTCAGCCTATCAAATACAATAGCCTATTTAAAAAACACTGTTTATGTATGGAATCACATGGAGCGAAAATATTATGTGTCATATATTAAATTATACATGAAGAAATTATAGCGAATTGAAAGTAGACGTAGAGTTACGTTGAAAATTTTAGTGTTGTTTTGTCTTTACTTATGATACGGTTTTGTTACTAGCAATGTGTTAATTGATTAATTTTGTCCTTAGAAGTATACACGGAGATTATGGGTGGATGCGAAAAACCTAGCGTACTTGTGACGTCACCAGGCTCTCCCGACATGCACTCCAGACGACGCTCGGCGCGTCACAATCACCATAATGTCAGCGTCACTGGACGCATACAGGTAGTTTAAATAATAATTACCATATATTTCACTACCACGTATTATAATACCCAAATTCTTTTTATTTTAAAGAAATACTGCCGTGTTGGCGTAGTGGCTAGCATATTCGAATACAGACCAGGAGTTCAAAATCCTGGAGCCCATATATATAAGCGTGCTGTGTACCTCTAGACCACCCTAGAGCCTTAGCGCCTTAGCATTAGAACCTTCCGGTTGTCTATCTCGAACTCTTAATAAAAATCGCTCTTATATGACTTCTGCGTCCGGGTGGTTTACCCTTGAGTAGGCGTTTGGGCATACGGGAATCCTCGATCTTCACCACATGTCCAGTCCAGCAGCCGATTTTAATGGTCTTAATAATGTTTAGTTCATCGTAAAAGTTGTACAGCTCGTGATTGTTAGTCTAGATAGGTCTTTAAAATTAAGATAGCTTGTTTAAGTATACTCATCACATTCATTGATATTTCTAAGTCACTTTTTTTGTTACTGTGTTATATGCTTCTAAAGTCGTAAATCTTGTGTCCCGTCCTCCTAAACTCTTCCATGGTTATTAGTAAAACATTCGAGTTTGGATTATTTGATTCATTTAAACGTGTCTTATACATTATTTTACGTCTTAAACTTGATGATGACGCCAGCAAGTGGTAATTTAATGGACTACATATTAAGTTGTAAATGTAATAACATAATTTTTTGTTTGTTAACAGCTCAAAGTGTATTTTGATATTCCGGCACTACAGCTACTTGTAACTGCGGTATCAGCCTGTGGTTTAAGTCCAAGAACTGATGGCTCCACTCGCTGCCCGTATGCTAAAATCTTTTTACTCCCCGATAAAAGTGAGAAGAGTAAACGTCGTACTAAAACAATAGCAAATACATTGGAACCACGATGGAACCAGACATTCGTATATTGCGGAATTAGAATAACTGATATCAAAAAACGAACTTTAGAGGTTAGCTATATTTCTTACTTTATGAATATTACTTGTCATTGATCTGATTACAAATTGAAATCAGTGTAATGTGTTGTGGTCTAATTTGTCATTTAACTGGGTAATTTGTTTTTAGGTGACAGTTTGGGACTTAAATCGGTACGGCCCCAATGATTTTCTTGGAGAAGTTCTCCTTGACCTAGACAATATTGTAATGAACCATGAACCTAATTGGTATATTCTGAAACCTCACGAAGAAACCGGTGGATATAGTGTAAGTATTTAATCTAATTTTTTTTGTAAATTACTTATATGTATCAGTGGCAGCCCATTGGGCGCACGCTCGTTTTAAAAACAATGAAGTGGAGTCAAATTCCTTATTCCGACTTTTAAGGTTTTACTCATTTACAACATGATTCCCTCTCGTTAATATGGTGATGATAAACATCGTTACGATACCAGCATGTCAGAGTGAGGAGAAAATAACTAGTTTTTAAAAGATGTGTGATGATTCTATCATATAGAGAGCAGTTAAAAAGGGCTAAATAATTAAAATAAAAGTACTTATTACATTTTAATTTTTAATATCTATCATATATTGTGAAAATCTGTATACAGATGAAATAATCTACAAGTATTTCTGATACTTTTTTACAAAAAAATAATCCTAATTGCCATACGAAAAAATAAATATTATAAACATATTATTGCTTACCAGCGCTACCGAGATGAGGATATAGACGGGGAACACCTGTCGCCGCCGTCGACGTCCACGTCGCGGCTCTCCGACTCCGACACGCCCAGCGAGTGCGACTTACGGCGGCACCACTCGCTGTCCAGCCTCGCCTCCAGCTCGAGTCCACCACCACCACACGAGGTAACAATACTTGAAATTTATTTAATAGGAAGACCAACAGTATACATATAAATATAAATATGTTGGAATATTAACACAGTACCACGGGTGTACCCAGGTAGGGGCAGGAAATTATACAACAAGAGCGAGACTTTCTACGTATCCGTTTTGCTTCCGCTATCACTGTTCCAGGAACTAAAAAACTTCATGCTTTTCTTCCAACCAATGAAGGTCTATACGTTAAAAGAACCAGTGCTAGTACAAATAGTAAAATTGTAAAAATTACAAAATAAAGTTATCTATTATAATTAATTCAATTTCAATCTCAATTAATAGAACCGTACCTGTTCCATATATTTACTTACTCGTATGATTTTAAACTTTTAGCAGTATATTATTATATATAGTTGCGATTTATACGTACTTATTTCACACTCGAAATTTGTAAAAAATTGTAGTAGGACTTTTTAACGAAAAATTTTATTTAAAAATTGCAAATACTTACTATAAAAAGAAAAGAAAGAAATTATTATTTATTTTAATTTAATTTATTTATTTAATGGTATTCATATTTGTTAGCAGTTATATTTTATTTCTTAAATATCATTTTACAAAAAAAAATAGAGTAGGTATAGTATGCTCTGAAGGCGACAGACTCGACCAAAAAAGTACTGGATGTGGCGCGCAGTGCGATGTGTATGTACTCAATATGCTCTAGCTCCTAAACTACTGGCGATCACGTTGTAATTGTTTTTGTGAAGAATTAAGATATTCAAAGCTTTATTTCAAAGTTAAAATATAGAAAAAAAATATGTCGAAGTTACTCAAACATCCATTTGAAATCTTCACTTCCGGTTTACTATACGTAAAAAGAAACAAATTTGTAATTCGATAAAAAAATTCAAAACTGCATTCTTTTAACTTTCAGAAACGATATTTTTTAGATATTTTTACAAATTGATTGATATAAATAATAAGCATTCAAAAAGTACGGATTTCATACTTCGTAAATTTTTAAAAGCTCATAACTCGGCAATAAAGCATCATACGAAAAAAATAATGTATTTGCACATCCATGACTACTAGAACTATAACTGACCAGAGTATGAACAATTTTCACAACCTCACTTTATTTTCGTTGTCCGCGTCACGTGAAATGCCCCATATATTATGTGTTAACTTATAAAAAAATTGTGCTGCGCGCCCGGTCAACTAGTATTCATACATCACGCTAGAGCAGCGAGCGAGCGGCGAGCTTCACGCTCGCCAGCCACTCGCTGCCGCGCTAACGACTTGAGAAGATTATCAAATCTAGTCTAGCGCTTGTGTACTGGCCTGCGAGCTCGTATTTGACATGTTATTGTTTGGAAGAGCCAAAAAAAGGGGAGAAGAAATAATCAATGTCCATATCTATACATATAATAAACTAGCATTTCCCGCGGCTCCGCCCGCGTTCAGATGAGCCGAATCCAAATTCTTAAGTTTTACATATTAGTATACTCTTACATTACAGTTTTTGTATTTTTTCTCAGAAAGAGACATTTTTCCGCGGTAAAAAGTATCCTATATGTTAACCCGGGTAACCAGCTATCACCATACCAAATTTCATCAAAATCCCTCCAGTAGTTTTTCTGTGATGCGGTAACAGACAGACAGACAAAAATTCTAAAAACTATAGATAGATGAATGATGAATAGGGAGATATTCAAGAAAAACTATTATTGGGGGTTTTATTAACGCGATAGAACCCAAAACAATGATTTTTAGAATTTTTGTCTGTTTGTCTGTGCGTTTGTGCGCGCTAATCTCACCAATCTCAAATGGCTTAACCGATTTGGATGCGGTTTTCACTAATATATTTTATGGTAAGCTTCACTTAAAGTCATTTAGTATTTGTTTAATTTCAATCGGTTCATAAATAAAAAAAGTTATGTCAATTTATTAAAATAACTCAAGAAACATTTATTGGAAAAAAGTTGTGTATACTTATGTACGCATGTAAGAAGTTATAGGTACTTCTTTGTTTTTTATAGCATTTAAATAAAAGCTTGTTTTTTAAATGTTTTAACTTTTTTTAATGTTTCTTACTTTTTTTTCGTATTCTTCTCAGCGAACCTTTTCATTTGATATCCATATCATGGGGGTGCAAAATAAACAGTCCGTCATATTAAATTTTATAATGACGTCACTTTGCTTATTGTGTTTCGCTTATCAAGTCCTTTCATTCGATACCCATATCATATGGGTCACTATGGAAATAATAAATCGCCATTTTGTAACGTCCGTCCGTCATATTGGATTAAAAATGGCAGCATTTAGGAAACGTGCAGTCATGAGAGTCAAACGTGTGTGCCAAATTTCAGCTCAATCGGACAATTGGAAGTGGGCCAAATTTAACTTGTAAGATTTGATTACAGACAGACACCGAGACAGGTGAAACTAAGTAAAAGCTTGTAATATTTTTTATATTTATCGATGTCAGTGTGATATCAACACGTGTTGTGTATATAGAAATACAGGTATATATATATCTTGATTATAGACATCTCAATATACTAAAGAGCCAATAACGACTTTTAATTCATACTGTAGTAATCCCTCCACGACTGCGGACACACCGGCGTGTCAGTTAACAATAGATTTCTTAGAATTTTAATTAATTTCTTAGAAATTTACCTAGAGGTGTTAATCTGTCATATCGTAAAAAAATGACTCTCATAATTCATTTTTCATAAAGCGCCAAAAGAAGTATAACTTCAAAAATGCTATATAATTCTGTTTAGTTGATTTGGCTAAGACTTTTGTTAATTATATCACATATACCTATATGTAGTTCGTAAAACGATGATGATTGAAAGTTTATATGGACACAGCAAAGTCAAAAATTGATAATTTCAGAAGAGAAGCCAATGTAAGTTAAGACATCTATATGGTTGAACATATTAAACAGCGTTTAGCTTAAACTAGGCGCGCTTCTGTCGAACGCCGGCGCACCCTGGTAACAGCTAAAACTCGGCAATTTTTTTTTTAATAATTAGTGTTAGGTGCAAAAAAATTAAAATTCATGAAGGTACTTAGGGATGCACCCAATAAAAAAAAAACAAGAAAAGAAAAAGATGAAAATATGTCGAAAATTTTGAAGTTTTTGTAAAAGTCGTAAATTTTTACTAGACCTACAACTTTCGTAAAGAATATTTTTCGACAGGATGTCACAGGAAGCCAGAAATTGAAAAAAAACTATTTTTCAACGTTTTCATCCTCCCATTTCTCGGGGGTAGCTAGACAGCGGGGGCGACTTACGGATTTTTGTTCCTCATATACCTCATGCTAACGTCTTAAAAACATAAAACTTCAGGTTTTAATTTTTTTTTGTAGCGCATCGCAATGGGACTATTTGTATAGCGAATATTTAAATTAAAGAAAAACTTAATCTATACTTATAAAAAATCTGTAGAGAGGTTAATTCTGTACATGAAATATATTTCCAAAATAACTATCAGGGGGTGATTAGGGATCGATACTGATGCCAAAAATGCAATCAGTAAAATTTTTGTCTGTCTGTCTGTATAACCGTTATAGAAACAAAAACTACTCGACGGATTTTAACGAAACTTGGTACAATTATTTTTCATACTCCTGAGCTGGTTAAAGTACACTTTTCATCACGCTACAATCAATAGGAGCAGAGCAGTGAAGGGAAATGTTGGGAAAACGGGAGAAGTTACTCCATTTATTAAGATTCCGTCGCGTGTGCAACCTTAATGGTTAAAGCTACACAGAAATCATGTATGACGGAAATGTTCTCCTTAAAATTATATAAAAAATATCCCACGACAGCATATGTCTATCTTTTATGGTTGACTCACAATAACACGTGTAACTCCCGATAGCTTAGCAGTTCGAAGCTTTCTGATTTATATTTGTCTACTCTTACGTTTATAACACTCTCAATCATGCCTAATTAAAAAAGTTAACATTATTAACTATTCCATAAAAAAGAATCATAGAAATCGGTATAGAAACACCAAAGTTATACATGAAATACACTAATAATAAGCCTTCGCGCGTGAATACTGATTCATGTGGATTATTTTTATCTTATTATTTTTACCTTATTATTTTTATCTTATTACCTTATTACCTATAATACAACAGCTCATGCACCTAATTTAGTAAAATTTGGCATGCTGATACCTTATATTACCGGTCAAACAACAGGTTACTTTTTATCCCGAAAAAATGTATGGTTCCTGTGGGATAGATCTGTGTGTGAGGTGAACCCGAGCGAAGCGAGGGTGAGCCGCTAGTAACGAATAGAAACTTAATTCGTTTCGAATTAGGTACTTAAAAAAATAATTTTGTATTATTCCTTCCTTTATTAAACTTTGGGGGAACTTTGGGGGAAAGAGGTGGGAGGGGTTTTGACACCCCCCCCTCCCCCTCCGGACGGACGTTCGGGACCAGGTTTAATAAATTTCTGTTTTGAACCCCCCCCTGGACCAAAATCTGGGTACGCCCATGCACAGTACCATCTAGTTCCGTGATAAGCTACGAGGCTTATGTTTAGATACCAGATAGTTGATACACTATAAATATATAACTTTAAACAGATACGTATTATAAACATAAACATCCATGACTTAAAAAATACAAACATTCGTATTCATCACACAAATGAATGCCCCCAGCGGGACTCGAACCCACGACCGCTGGCACAGCAAGTAAGTTCACTACAAACTGAGCCAAACGTATCGTCTAAATTGATGTTATCTTTTCGATTTGACTACTATTATCATTGCGTAAGTATACGTGTGTATGTAAGTTGACTATTACCCCTTCATGCTGAAACGGCTGAAAAGATTTATATGAAATTTAGTAAACATTATCTATGGTCTGGAACAAGGCATAGACTATTGTTAGCTGCGTAGAAAATTATATTTTTCAATTGTCTGTTTCTGACAAACAGCCGTAGACAATTAGTTTTATTTTTGTCGTAATGCCAAAAGTAGCGTCAAAATCAGTTATATTAAAATATAAAAAAAAAAACTTCCTACATCATCCCGTCAGATTGAAGGCACGCGATGCAGCCGACGAGATATGTCTCCAGCTGGTCGAGTGAGAACGGCCGGACTGTCGAGGGAGCGAGTGAGTAATATAATACCTACAGTTGTACAATAAAAAAGTAAATAAATTAAATAATTTTTAATGAAATCACTGATTGTTATAATGTATCAAATTAAACAAACTATTGATGTGACACGATTCATAAAATAATAAAAATGTGTCTTGTAGAAAAATAACATGAAAATAATGGAAGAAAATATAAACTACATTTTATAGCACTAGATAAAAGCAGTACAATGAAATATGTACATAAAATGTTCGTTCTCGTAGAGCGGCTACGTAGCGCGGTCGCAGTCGGCGGCGGGCGGGCGCAGCGCGTCGCCGCGGCGTTCGCTGTCGCCCCCCAACTCCGCCCCGCGTTATCCAGGTCACACACACACACACACACACACACACACTATCACTCACGCATATGCTCATATTACTATATTTAATAACCGAGCCTTCAAATAACAAAATTTCACGTACAATAAAAAAGCATCTAAAAACGATTGTTAGCTCTATCATGTATGATAGAGCTCATAAAATAATTCAAAGCTAATCACTTTTTAGATGCATCTTTGTTTTTTTTAATGATTATACCTACTAGGGATGATCTAACCAAATATGCTGGTTTCCTGTGTCTCGCTACAGTTCTTTTGGATTTGTGGCAAAACATACTCTATCAGACTTATATTTTGAAATATGTTTTTAACGCTTTATTTGTATTAATCCATGTGTGTGTTACTATTTTACCTCGATCAGCTACACAATTTGAGCACATTCAAAATATATTCAGTGTCCTATTGTTAACCTACAATTAATTTATTGCCTGGTTGGTATCGGTATGTATGTATATATGTGTCAAAGTTCTTGGTGATGTATTCAAATTTTTCTATTTCCTGATCGTGGTCGTACAGTTTCGCAGTGACCAATAAAATGATACACTCGCAAAATTGTCTGGCTACGGTCTCGCCTGGACGGGCCGCGGAGTGGACCGACCCCGCACGGAACACGTCGCGACTTGCACGTATAGATCATCACTTTACTGCCACTAACTGTTCTGCTATCCTATCATTTTTGTTTCACGCATTTCCAACCTCGTCCTCTACCTACACGCTAACTTTATAAACCATTAATCCACATTAATGCAATAACAACAAGCTCACAGTGTTTATGATTGCATGCTTGTCTACCTTAATTCTCTTTCAAAGGCAACCTTCGTAAGTTGTTTTTAATTATTATACTTTTAATGTAACTTCGACTAACTAAGCATTATTATGTCATTGACCACTAACTTATTGTTCAATTTAAAAAAAAAAACTATTTTTTTTCCATGTCATAAACGAAATAATATTTACAATATTGTATGTAATTTTGTTTGTGACATCAATGTGGTTGTTTAAAAAGCTTAAGGAGCTGAGAGTAGCACTAAAGTGTGGAAAGCAGCGTGTGTTATATTACAGTGTGCGAGGAGCGCGGGGACACGCGCCTGCCGACGCACGCGTACGCGCCGCGATTCCAGTCGCGCTCCGCCACCGCCACGCCCACCACCAGCCCCAAGAAGCGGCAGCTACCGCAAATACCACACCAGGTACATAAGAATAGCTCTAGCCTATGATACAGGCATTCAATGGATAAAAATAATTACAGTGGTTTTCCTTATACATAAGCCTAAATCCATTTCTTATTTAGAACAATACATAATTATTATAAGAATACATATTGTTTAGGTGGATTCAACACAGAAGTATATTTGGACGTATCGTGCGTACAGAAAAAAAAAGCCTATTAGTAATGGCGGCTCATTGAGTCTGTAGTGTACTGTCAGCATAGCACAAGTTTCTTACCTATATTATATTATCATTTTTCATCTTATTTGTCATTATATCGTCAACATTTTTTATCATTTTGATATCATATGTAAACAATATTATCAGGATTATTAATAATTAATATTATATTAAAAATCATTATTTTCGTGGTCTATACATGTATCTGCAACGGGTGAGAACAAAGTCTACCGTAGATTTCAATTGAGAGGCGAATGAAAGCGATGCTATTTATAATCCCATTCTTAATTTGAACGACTTGTATCAACGCACCTACCCTTCCCTTGGCAGTACACGATTTTGAAACCTCCAACTAGCATGTTTACCTAAAGATTTTCATTTGAGCGGTAAACTTAAAAAGGACCTAATATACTAATTCTACGTCTATTTACGAATATGTATCTATAATTAGGTGTTTACCTATTACAAGGGATATTTCGTGAAACTATAAGAGTGATGTTTAGTCATAGTGCTAGTGCATGAGTGTAAAGTATAATTATTCGTTGGCGCAGCAGAGTGGGCAGCGGGCGATGCGCGCGCAGGTGTCTGCGGACCTTGAAGAACGTAAGTGGATCGCCCCGCACCACATTGGCGCCACACTTACCTACCGCAGCACGCCACAAGGTCAATACATCCATACCCTCACTTGCTATTCCGTCATCTGCAAAACGAACGATTAACAGACTTCATGCCGACGCTATTGTACGTCGCGCCGCCTTTGAGGATAGTAATTAACTAAAAGAGAAAACTAAATGAGACGAGAATATCTTAAATATGGCGACAAAATCTCCAATGTGTTCAAAATTTGGAGAAAATGGCAATACTACCGACCATCATATAATTATTCACACACAGGTATAGGTACCTAATACACATGCCAACATATAAGTTATGAAATTTTCGCTAAAATGAGAGTTTTTCAAAATGAAAAATGCAATGACACTTTTTGTAAGTATAATTTTCCTATGAGAAATACATAGGCACATATATATTTGATCAAAATATCAATTTTGTCTATACGTTCATATTCTATTCAGGCAGATGAAATCATAATATAACCAGTTCATCTAGAATAGTAAAAACTTTAGAAACACTTTACACTACACATAACACTCCAGCACCATAACACTGCATAATATTCGAGAACAAACTATCTCCGCTCTTTTTCATTCATTGTAGACGAGTACAAGCGTATAACTCCGGTTAACATGGGTGTTAAGAAAAGTTTTTTGCTAAAATTAATAATTTTATTACATAATTATTCTTATTGGCAGTTATAAAAAAAAGTATTTTCAAAAATATAATGGACTATAAAAAGATAATTTGTGAAATACTGTTCTAATTTATTTGGTCGTAGTATGTATGCATATTCATAGGATCTCTTTAATGAACATTTTCCTGTCCTGCGCCATGTCCTATGATAACCGGAACGTACCATTATTACTTAGGGTGGGAGAGACACTATGCCGGGTTGTCGGACTCGGAACTGGCACGAGGCGGCGGCTGGGCGCCGCGGCGCCGCCTCTCCCCAGACGCGACGGCCGCAGACTCAGACCTCGAGTCTGTCGCTTCCGTCACTTCTAGTGCTTTCAGCACGCAATCCGAACGCCCACGTCCCACGAGGATGCTAAGGTGACAGACAAAATTTTATTTGGCATATTCACAACCTTTTTCTCTAATTATTGAACTTCCTTCAAAATTTGTCTTTAAATTACTCCTAATATTTTTTGGAATTTTTTACTATTCATTGATATCTTAATGGTCGTGTTATAACGAATACACAGCATCTAATTTCATTAAATCACAAATAATCACATTCATATCATGAGCTCAATTTTTCTTATTTATGCTTAGCTTTTAAAATAATTTATATTTATTAATATATGTAAAATGCATGAAATCAACATTATTATCGGTTGCTTCCATGCTTTCCAGCCGGATGCAATCGCTTCCAGTTTCCAGCACTTCCTTTTGCTTTGACCCTGCTCTTGAGTGTCGTTACGGACCGACTGTTGGAAATATTAATAGTGAATATGACATATATAATGATCGTCGCCTATCTATTCTAAAAACGCATCATTCACGTTCTACCCGTCGCCATCGTCGTTCCTTAGCCCGCAGTCGCTCTGCTGGTGCCTATTCTAAAGCTTCAACTCATTCTATTGCTTACGATAGAAGTTACAGCTACGATGATGATCAAGGACAGTATATAAACATAAACCACATTTCTCAATCATTAAAACCTATAACTTCATTTTCCCTAACTACTAGTGCATATGATGTACGAGGGGGTGATACACCTAATTTACATGTTCCATTTAAAACACGGACTCAAAAAAATCTGTCAAAAAGGAAGATTCGAATTCAACCAAGTCTTTCTTGTGACCAATACATTAAAAATGATCATCCTTACGACAAAATAGATAGACAAAAACGGTTACTGAACACAGATAGTACAAAAGTATTCCACATCAGAACTTTACCAGATACTCTAATCTGCAATAACAACGAAGAAATATTTCCTAAAAGTAACTATGATTCTGATACACGAGTCAACGATGATGCCGGTCATCACTATCACGGTTATGCTAGTGATGACAGTATACCTGAAACTACGATACACGTTAATAGCGATAAACAAAACAGTTTTGACATTGAACCATATATTGTACATCGAGGGGTAACAACTAGCCCAAGAGTTGGTGATAGGAATAAAAGTTTTCATTCTTGTCCCTATATAAAACATATGGATAGGAAAAATATATTGTCGCTAGATTTAAGATCAAATTATCAAAAAAAGCAACAAATCGAATCTTTTCTTTCTAAACAAAACAATTTAGATCACAATAAACATTACCAAAAAAGTAATAGATTCATTAAAATTAGTAGAAGTCATTCAGATTCAATAGTTTCTACTTGTAGTTCACCCGCTAATACTAATTGTGGTATACCCGAAAAAGATAGTGCGATTTTTAATAAAATGAATCATTCATCAAGAAATGAACAAATTTCTGAAAAAATTCTTAATAATGAAAAAACATACTACTATGTATTAGAAAATTGCCATCCTCATAACACGCAATCAAACCGATCATCGTACAGTATAAACCATGCTTTTGATCCTTCATCTCCTAAAGTTGAATCCTATCATTTAGTCCAAGATTTTAGTAAAATGGCTAATTCTTTATCTGTTGGTCTTTCTCCCACGAACCTCGGCTCGCCCTGTGGTCTGCTTACATCCGTCGCCCCGCACTTACCACCCGATGACACTCATCACAAAACTACCGAAGCGACGACATACCTTCCTGATGATGCTGACTCTACGCAACCTGATGAATCGAAAACGCCTTATATTGCACCAAATTGGGAAAACGATGACACACTGCAATATAATGAAAAAAAAACTATAAAAAACTTAAATAAAACATTGGAAAATAATGTCGACCCGACTGACTTGGAAAGCAGCAATGACTACGGTGGGCGTGAGAATGGGCGAAACCACAGCCAACAACAACCTTTGGAGAGGCGGGAGTCGCGACGGGGACAATTTACGCGCAGTCTTAGTAATGCAGACGCTCCTGATGAAAAAGCAGGTACATACATTTTAACTTTATAACTTTTTGAATTAGTGATTTATCCATAATTAATTTACAAAATCCATTATTCTTATATATAGTATATTCTATATAGTTTTAAAAATTATGCCATTTCAAATATAAACAATAATTCCATATAACAAAAATTAAAAAAAATCATAAATATTGACATCAAGATGGCAGCCTCAGCGACACTGCTCTGGGTGGAGCAAGTGAAATAGAACCTGCCAGTGACGACGTACTTCTAAAGGCTGAACCGAGGGATTATTTTGGCCCTGGAATGGGAAAGAAGAGCAACTCTACATCCCAACTTTCCGCAACAGGTATATAATAAGTATAATAGTAATATCAATATGACATTGTAGTTTGTTATATGTTTTTTAGTTTAAGTCGGTAAGTCTGTAACGAATATTTTAATAATTTTTCAGCATCTAATAGTACCTAATATAACTAAATATTTTGATAATTATTTATTGAATCATCGAGCATTATTAAAAAAAATTAGAATGACTCACGCCTAGGTAATGTGTAAATAGAGTAAAGATTTAGTAGCTGTGTCAATTTCTAAGTAATATTGATTGATCGACAGGACGAAAAAGAAGGTTAGGTTTCGGTAAGCGAGGAAAAAATTCGTTTACGGTACAACGCAGTGAAGAAGTGGTGCCCGGGGAAATGCGGGGGGTTACCGGTGTTTCGCGGGCCTCTTCTGCCTCGAGCGAGAACGACGACGACAGGTTGGCGACGCTAATGAAAGCCCGACATATATTATACAATAGTGGGCTCTGAGGCGGTAGTTCTCGCGTCGCGGTTACGTTGACCTGTTGTAATACTCTTCGTTCGCTTTAGCCAATGTTAGGAGACCTATATCTAGAAATAAAATGAGTGTTATAAATACATACCACAGCATGCTAAAAAGATTATTGATAGATGTGCAATGTTGCTTTGCAGAGTCGGCTATGTAGAGCTTTTACTGGTACATGTTATTGGCCTATAAGCGAGCGAGTAAAATTTATTAAATTTAGATAATTATTACTATAGTCACTTCTGAAATAAAAAAACATAATAATGATGTGAAACATATCGGAATATATCATCATTATTTTTTTGTCAACCTTTTTAGACCAAATATATTTTATCTACAGCAAAAAAGGACAATGGTGAAGACTGTATTGTCTATTACAGTAGCATTTCGGATTTTCGGTAAAATTGGCTCTCCTAAAATATATTAAAATTGTTTCTTATCTTAAATATAATAATCAGGTGCATTCTAAATACATCTTGTACATAATTTATGTAAATTTTATGACAAAAATTCCGGATGCAACAGGATCGAACACCCTTCGAGTATCACCAAACGCATCTTGTGTTCGAAAACCACTGCGCCCTGGATTTTTGACAAATGCAATGGTATAAAATAATAATTGGCATGAGTGTTTGACGGGTACTGAATGTTGCGTGTTGCGCGTGTCGCGTAGAGGGCGGGGGCGGAAGTGGCGCGCGCCGCAAGCGCTCCGGGCCCACCACCTTCCAGCGCTCGCACGAGGTGTGCACCAGCCTCGTCTCCATATCTAGCTCGGAGGGATCCTCGTAAGTCGCTCGCTCGTTCCGTCCGCAGACATCTATGTGCATCGATGTTTCCGCGACTCTCTTACCCTATCAACGCCTTCGTCTTGTACGCATGATGATGTATTTTATAGGTGTTTTTTACTTCACCCACACACGTGTCTTCTCACGTATAGACGTCGCACATACACGAAAATAAAACATAAACTTTACTCTTGCCGATTCGGACTTACTGCAGTTTCTCCGGCGCTTACTGCTATCACTGCACGATGTCATCGGTGTAAGTGTTGCCTGAAAGCCTATAAAGTTTGCACATTTCTATTCTGGACTGTTTGTCTCCATTTTATTTAGTGTTCGTGAAACCATCATACCTGTCTATGTTCATGCATGTGTCAAAATAATGTCATACCACAAATTACTTGTACTTTATTAAACAATTTACATGTATCACAAATGTTCTTTAACTATTTACTAATATAAGCTTCATTTAAATTAAAAATATCGTATTTTACAAAAATCAAATTATTTTTTCAACTCCTAAAACCACTCTTATAAAACTTACACTTCTCCTAATCTTAATACCCATTCATACTATTTTGATAACTTTCAAAGATTTCTTAGCAAGAAAGGTCAGAGCTCAGATACAAAATATTCCCAAAATTAATAGGCATAAAATTCGATTACGGACAAACCAACATATCTCACTGTTCATTTATGTATGTAAGTCATTTATATATCATACACATCATCCAATTTACATTATTTATGTATGGTACATTGCGATTTAGTCTATTATTTTATATTATAGGCAAAACAGTAGGTACTAGGTGTAATAAAATAATACTATCATATGTTGTTATTACCACTCACGTTACTTACTCTGTTGTTATTTCTGTAAAAAATCCTACAAGTCGTTGTAAAACTGTTGTAAAAACCAATGATCCGAAGTAAATAATTGTTAATTTTGCTCATCACGGAATCAAAGATTTTTAATTCCATTTATTTTTATTAAATTTCAATAGGAACGAGTCGATAATACACAAGATCTATTATATACTTGTACAATAGAAATGACAATAATATTATTATAGATTGAAGTTAAATAGTTTTAAAAAATTAATTTCTTCTAAGCCTGTAAAACGCCTAGAATAGAAATTAGAAAGTTTCATTGTATCTTACGGATCTATTACTGAAAACTTCGACTTCTAGATATAGTCTCCTTACTGTTACCCCCAACGATTAGTATCTTATAGATATCCGCTCCAAATAATGTCTACAAAATTTAATTTATTATTCGTTGCATCCGAAGACTACCGCCCCTTCTTCACTACTGTATCAGTGTCGTAATTGTTTGTTTTTTTTTTCTAATATAATCTTTTATCTGTTACTATGATAGCCCTGCATTTGCGAAAGCCTAAGTATCGTTTGATATTACCAAATGATTTAACATCTCATAAAAAAAAGATGTTTTGCAAAATATTTAAGGCAAACGATAACGATACTTGGATTTTCAATTGTCTTACCCAACACAGTAGGTATTACCAATGCTTATCATATTATTAAAAATATAAATAAAATTCAAGAAAAACACTTAACTATTTATCTCTTTAATAAATTAATTATGATCTAATTTATCTGTTTCTTGCTTTTAAAATGTAAGATTTGATGAAAAGTAAGTATTAAAAATGATCCATTTGCAAAAATAATATTTTAAACCTATGACAACAAAAAGCTAAGCTGTCACGCGCTTGGCTACTATAAAAGCCTCTGGTACGCGCCTAATTGCAATTTTTAAAAATCGCTAAACTAACATGTATGTACATTTTTAACAAGTGTTAATTTTATACATACTGATGGAAATATGACAGATGGTCTCCTGGAATGCGGGGATCAGGGTCTTCCGAAGGAGGAGGATTATCGGACTTCATCGACGGACTGGGTCCAGGGCAGCTTGTCGGTAGACAGCTGCTTGGTGCACCAACGTTGGGCGATGTGCAACTCTCTATGTGCTACCAAAAGGGCTTCCTAGAGGTATTCGTAAACTTTAGAGCTTTTAGAGTAAGTACATAAATATCTTCACGTTCTATTTGACCCAGTTTAAAGATGTTTTAAGAACATTAAAAAAATGAACATTGCCTCTTAAATTTTATTAATTAGATAAATAACTTTTACATTAAAAGAATATTATATTGGATGACACGTTTGGCTCAGTTTGTAGTGACCCTACTTGCTGCGCCTGCGGACGCGGGTTCGAGTCCCGCTGAGGGCATTCATTTGTGTGATGAGTACGAATGTTTGTACTCCAGTCATGGGTATTTATATTTATAATATGTATGTATTTAAAGTTATATATGTATAATGTATCAACTATCTGGTATCCATAACACAAGCCTCGTAGCTTACCATGGAACTAGATGGTGTTGTGTGTTAATTTCCTGACATATTTATTTATATACATGCGACTCACTCTCGCTTCACTCGAGCCCTAAATACACCCTGTGCACTTCGCGCAGAAGAAACACTTTACGCCTGTCGCCGATTTTCATTTGTATTAGGTTCTACTAAGAGGTACTATCAATAGTTTCAGAATATACCTGTCTAAGTAATCGTCAATTCAACCTTTTAAAAATCAAGTCCCCAGGCGCGTATTTGTGTTTGTTCAGGCTAATTCCAAAAATACGTACGAATCTTCTTACGGTTTTTACCAATAAATAAAAAGAGGGATTTGTTAGTAAGCCTATTAGGCTGTAATTTATAAACATTGTGAAAATAAGCTATATGGATGATATTTGTAAATGAAGTCTGAAAAAATATACCCTTTTAATAACATTCGTATTACAAATAAAAAGATCGTCTAGGGTCACTATTCACTAGTATTAATATAGGTTTAATATAACTTTGACGTAATCTAAATTGTGTACATAGGTGGAGGTGATAAGAGCGCGAGGATTGCAAGCGAGGCAAGGCAGCCGCACGCTGCCCGCGCCCTACGTGAAGGTGTACCTGGTGAGCGGCAAGCGCTGCATCGCCAAGGCCAAGACGAACACAGCGCGTCGCACGCTCGACCCGCTGTACCAGCAAACACTCACCTTCAGGGAAAACTTTAAGGGATGTGTTTTGCAAGTAAGTCTACTACAAACAATGGAGAAAACCTGTTGTTGTGTAATCAAATTAGTTTATCATTTTAAATATTTGTTTTAAGATCGGACAGACTTCAAAAAGTTAATTACAAAAAATAGTTAATCAATACACGTATGTCTTGTGTATGTAACCGGTAACGCCATATTATGTGAATCGCAAATGTGTAAATAAATATTATTAAAGCGATTTTCAAGTTAAATCGTACAAACACTGAGAATTTCATTAAAATCGATTCAGTACTCTTGAGAAACAGACAAACAAAAAATAATCCATATTATAGCGTTTTAGTCTTTAGAATAAATTATAAAGTTTTATAATAATGCGGCAGATATTCATAATTTAACCAATTATTGTCTAAAAATTATTGCATCTAGCAAGAAGTCCGCGGTTTTTTTAACATTGCCAACAATATATTATATGTAATTTTCAATTCAATTCATTTTTTTGTTAATGGCTTCAAAATTTGCCAATTGAGCATAGATTCATGTTTTAATTTTATTTTAATTTATTTTTGTGTGTAATAAAGATTCAGACATTTTCAATTAATTAACTTTGTACTGTATAGGTAACCGTGTGGGGAGATTATGGTCGTATCGAGGGTAAGAAGGTATTTATGGGTGTGGCACAGATCATGCTGGACGACCTCAACCTCTCCAACATCGTCATCGGATGGTACAAGCTATTCGGAACCACGTCACTGGTATCTTATTTATTTTTTATTATAACAAATATATTAAGTTTTGCAGTAGAGGTTATAGCACCAAAAAGCACTTGGCAAGTCTTACCCAGAGTATTTTGGACTGATTCCAAAGATCGATTCGGGTGAATGGATATTTTTTTGTATGATACTCGACATCCTTGCCAATTGTGAACCGATGTTCCTATTATATTCCTTATTTTGTAGAATAAATGCCACCATGATCAATGTGAAACATTTACTTTTAGGAGATGTAAATAAATTCTACAATTTGTTCAAACAATTAATCTCAAGCTAAAATTCACTATTTCATAATGCATTCATCTTTACAGATAAATAAAATTAAAGTGTCTGTTTGTAATGTCTAAAAAACAGCTTTTTACTAAATGCGTATGAAATTATATAATATGGTACTTTTAAGAAAAACCCAATTTATATTTTTTTTTGTCTATCTGTCCATTCCGGCTAATCTCCGAAACGGCTGGACTGTTTTTACATTATTATAAGGAATAATAGGCTACTTTTATTTTAGAAAAAGAATTAGGATTCCGCTCAAATATAAAAAGTAAAAATATGGTTATCATCAAATAATTTCTGTACAAGTGCCGTGTTCTAGCTACAACGAAGGCTGTTTGTTTCAGTAACCAACGCGCTGCAGTGGGTAGTGAGTTCGACGAACTTATATCAACAATAAAAAATTAACTTTGTCCAAAAAATACATTTAGTGATACTGCTTTAATATCATGATAAACTGCAAAATAACTTTGAACATAGGAAATTTTCTATAAAACGAAAGTTATATGTAAATTATTTGTATTTTTATTTTCTTTTGGAATGCCTACCGGAGTTTTGAATAGATAGCATTTTATAGCAAGAAAATAAAATGTATAGTGTACTCAATAATAATATGTAATTAAGTATTAAAAGCCAAATGCAATATCTATTTTTATTTTCCTAAACCTATCATTTTAAATATCATTATTATTTATAAACTAAATATACTTTGAAAACTATTTTTATATATAATATAATAAAGCTATATTTAAATATATCGAAGCCACTGGTTTTTTTGTTGTTACTTTTAGGAAAGCAAATTTTCCTTTATATTTACTCTAAAACAATAACAATTAGAATTATTAACTTCTATCATATCATTCATACACAAAAAAAAAACAAAATAAATTAATTAAAAATTATGTTTATTCTCTGCAAGATACTTTACATAACACATATTTTTGCACTTATTTGTTTAATGAATACTTACACAACATACCATCATCAGTCACTTATTGCGCTTCAACAATAAAAGAAGTCAAACTATTCTAATCATTAAACACGTCACACGCGAACGCCGTCCAAGATTTACAACAATATTGAAAAATATAATTTTATTTTGGAAAAAATGTGAACGATAAAATCATGCTCTAGCACGAGGGCAGGTAGTCGCTTTATACATTACTAATGTACTATAAAGGTTAATCTCAATAACCTATATATACAGATTAAAAAAAATATAATTGAAGTGTCTGTTTGTAATGTTGAAATAACAGCTTTTTACTAAATGCATATAAAAGTATATACGGTACTAATAACATATATATATATATATATATATATATATTCATTTTTATCTGTGTGTCTGTCTGTTCCGGCTAATCTCCGAAACGGCTATACTAATTTTGACGGGACTTTCACTGGCAGATAGGTGATGCTATAAGCAGTAACTTACGCTACTTTTGTTTTAGAAAAAGAATCAGGGTTCCGAGCAAAAAATTAAAACCCATGAAATTGAGTACAAAGCGCACCTAGGGACGCACCCGAGCGAAGCGAGGGTAAATCGCTAATCTTTGATATATCTTACTAGCGACAGTTTGATATAGTATATGTATGTATGTACTTAATATCCTATCTCTAATGAATAATTAGTGCATTATTTGTTTGGGTTGCTTCGAAGGCGACGCGCCCGGCAGCCGGCTCTCGCCCGCGCGCTTCACACCCGTCGACTTGATATCTGCGGCAATTTTTTAAATTAATAGAATTGTTGTCAGACTTTGAAAAGGGAGGATTTTCTATATAATCTGTCTAAATGTGAAAAACATAGGATTTTTTAATTAATAAGTTATATATGAAGGAATGTCTGCCCCATTTATATTTCCAGGAATTTACCTTTAAAGGTCAATTTGACTATGTTTAAAGTGATAATGAAGACATTATTCGTATACAAAACTCACATAACATCAGTAAATAACGGAACTTAACAAATCGGAAAATTAATAAAAATGGATACCCCATGTTATTCATAAGAAAAAGTTTATTCCTTTTTTCCTGTCATTTTATCCCAGTCCGTTAAAATATCTTGTTATTAGTTTTTTTCATTGTCCTATTACCGTACCGACCCGGGATTAGAACTCAGAACCTCCGGATCTGTAGCCCAACATAGCCTCTAGACCGGGGCAGTTAACAGTAACAAATATATAGAAAACATGAAGATATATAAATGCTAAGGCAGTGGTAGCCCAGTGGTAACTCCCTTGCTTGTGAAACCGTGTGAAGAGAGTTAAAATCCCGGGTCTCGCACCGCTTATATTTCGAATCATTCCCAACATGATTACCACTTGTCTTTACAGTGAAGGAAAATATCGTGAGGAAACCTGCATGTTTGAGAGAACCTAGCCAGTATTCAAAAGACATGTGACGTCCGTCAATCCTCACTTGGCCAGCGTGGGGGACTATAGCCTGATTCCCCATTCCCTCATACTAAAGGGAGGCCCGTGCCCAGCAGTGGAACGTTAAAAAAGACTGAATACAATGTAAGTGCTATGTGGGCGATGGCGTACAAGTATGTAAGTAGGGTGGGTCGTACCTTGCAGCCACCTGACCTGCGTGGCGGGCCCGTAGCCCTTGTCGTTGCGCGCGGCGATGCGGAAGATGATGGCGGGCTTGGTGGAGGAGTCCACGTGCGCCGCGCCCAGCGACGCCTGCCCCACCACGCACGTCGCCGCCTTGCCGCAGTACACGCGCACGAACGCCAGCTGCGACTTGGCCGCCTCCTGCAACCAGCAACGTCCACATATTATGTTTTAAATTAATAGTTTCATTTTGAGTTTTTGTTCTCAACGTTTTGAATACATTAACAGCAAACATAATCAGTGACAATTTTATTCATCACGCCATCTATACTTACTAATATTATAAATAAGATTTATTTTTTGTTTGTACCGAATAGGCTCTGAGATTACTACACCGATTTAGATGAAAGGTAAGAAGATAGTTTGAGACCCTGGGAATAACATAGGATAGTTTTATCCCGGAAATCATCCCTTAAGGAGGTGAAAATGGGGATCAAAGTTTGTATAGGGAAGCAACCTAGGCACGAACCTGAGCGATGCGATGGTGAGTCGCTAGTTATTATAAACGCCATCACCAGATAACGTATCAACATTTATATATGTAGTTAATTTTGCTTATTGAATTTTGTCATAATTAAAAAAAAGATACACATATCTATAAATACTATAGTCTTTACGATTATTTTGTTATTCCTTTTCCATTCCTACACAAAATGCGTATTTAACACCAGCTTGTTTGAACAACAAACCTTAGGCTGTGTATTGGATCGTACGGCGAGGTACACTGAGTACTCGAAGATGCCCTCGGCAGCGACCTGCGGCGGCTCCCACGACAGGTGCGCGCCCTCCACCGACTTCGAGATCTTGATGGCGGACGGCGCGCCAGGGAACCCCGGGAGGCACGTCTTAAATGCTGACTCCTATAACATCGTACATCATATATCAATACATAGTATAAAACAAAGTCGCTTCTCGCTATCTGTCTGTCCCTATGTATGCTTAGATCTTTAAAACTATGCAACGGATTTTGTTGCGGTTTTTTTAATAGATAGTGATTCAAGAGTTAGGTTTATATGTATAATACATGTATATTATAGTACAGAAAAGCCGAAAAATTCAAATATTTATTTTCATACTAACCGTTACAACATACCTAGGGACGAACCCTAGCAAAGCGAGAGTGATTCGCTAATCTCATACATATATATATATATATATATATATATATATATATATATATATATATATATATATATATATATATATGTATATATATATATATATGTATATATATATTTTGTATATATACATATGTATTCGGGCTTTTTTGACGTCCCACTACTGAACACGGGCTTCAATTCAATATAAGTGGGATCAAGCCATAGTCCACCACGCTGGCCAAGTGCGGGTTGGCGGACTTCACAAATCTTTCGAAGTATATTTTGATTTGATTTCGAAAACTTGCTAAGTTCAATGCAAATTAACATTATTCAATAATTAATTAATGGGTAGTTGACATCATTAACTGATAATTCCAAGATAAAACTTCTCTAAAAAACTCTTTATTATTGATTTGAAATTGATAAATAGCCAGTAAGTGACGTCATATACTTTCATAACCTTATCAATATATAAGCGTAAGTAAATTAGACTTACATAAATAAGATGAATCAAAACAATAATAATAGCCCATACCTCACTATAATCTCCTCTCCCACATGAGTTGATTGCAGCAATTCTGAATTTGTACGCCGTGCCATGTTCCAGTGGCGTTGTGGGTAATCCCGCGAAATCCGGTAAACTATCCAGAGATAGATTCGACAGATCTACATTTGGATCAGATATATAATTGTGCACCTGAAAATATAGTATACCATCATAATAAACTAATACCATCATAATAAAGTAAAATGAATGAAATTGTTATTTACATATACAATAGTAGCTAAATAAAATGATACTTACTGTGAATGTGGTTCCTTTAACAAAGCCAACTGTGTACCAAACATCCTCTTCATTTTGCGGTTTCGGTTCCTCGGGTTCTGCCTGTATATTAAAAAAATTATAATAGATTAGAAGTAAGGTTATTTGAACAACACATACTAGAATTTACAAAAGGATATGTACATCAGACTGATTCTGAGAATAGACATATTATTATGGATAGATACAATAACAACTTTTTTCGTAATACTGTGGTAGCATGGCGTTTTAAGAACAGTGCATACAAGACCAAAAATCCTCCACATTGTCCCAGTCCGCTCATTATCATTTCTTCTTCGTGGAAGGCTTTTTTAGTATTTAGGCACGTTATTCGCACACGCCCAGTGTGCCTGAACATGTGTGTATATATTCGCTCATTATCATACTGGTCCCAGTATGGCTTCTATGTATGTGTGTTTGTAGTGTGTGTCTATGTAGTGTGTGCGTACATGCGTATATGCGTGCGTGTATGCGTGCGTGTGTGTGTACGCGTGTGTGGTACATATGTACCTGCTCGTGTTGGTGATGCAGCGCCGCGCTGGCCAGCGTGGCGAGCGCGTGCGCGGCGTCGGCGGGCGGCAGCGGCGCGGAGCTGCTCACCGCGCCGTCGCCCTCCGCCCCCGCGCCCGCGCCGGCGCCCGCCCCCGCCGCGCCGCCCTCTACGCCCGACGACGACACGCCCGCGCCACTCTCTTCACCTACAGACGATTTATATTAACTTACAACTTACTAATTACACTGTTCTCCCAATATCAATCTCCGTACAGTAGCTTGCATTGTAGATTGCATTTCGTTTCAATGAAAACGATACCAAATGCAAGGGTTGTCAAAAATACCAATCTTTACGGACAATGGTTTCAAGTTAAAATAATGTAATGCCATCGTGCAGCAACATAAAGCCATTTTTCAATTGTCATATAAAAATAACTATGACAGTTGGGGTGCGTTTCAACTAGCAAGCTTCACAAGGTTGCTATGTTTGTGACTTCCTAAGAAGATTGTATGGACTAACTGGCTGTGCTCTTACTGCTCTTGAATGACTTCTTGCACACTGTGAGTCACATTTGAGTGAAACTTAAAAAAATGAAAACTGTTAAAACTTAAAAAATATAAAAATAAATATTGTAAATACCTTGTAGTAAATTAGGGGATAATAACGCAGATCCATTGGCCGTCATAGTGAGGAGTGGCATGGACTCGCTCACAGAGGGCATTGTGTCCGCCGCGCCCTCCATTTCCGACGTATCAGCATCACGGAGTCTGAAGAAATCACAAAAAAAAAATCAAAATTACGTAAACATTAAGTTGAATTAAACGAGACTTTCTTTGATTTATGTGAATATTTGACATTTTAAATAAAACTATGGTTTGGCGTATTATTTAACAGTTTTATTTAGATTTTTGGTTAAGACATTTCCAATGCTTTACAGCTATCATGGTCATTTCATGTCTGTTACAACTATATAATAACATTTAAAACGTCTAACCTTCGTCTCTCCGGTGACCATGACAGCTGAAGAAAAAAATCCAAAAAGATATTCCATTTGGTTTGTGGTCGTGATAAATAATTTTATTATTATTATTTGTATCTCTTAGGATTTCATAAGCTAGAATAAATAAATACGTTGGGACAATAACACACAGCACCATCTAGTTCTAGGGTAAGCTACGAGGCCTGTGGTACGGATACCAGATAGTTGATACACTACACATATATAACTTTAAATACATACATATTATAAATACATATAAACACCCATGACTGGAGTACAAACATTTGTGCTCATAATACAAATGGATGCCCCCAGCGGGACGCGAACCCGCGACCGCTGGCACATCAAGTAGGGTCACTACAAACTGAACCAAACGTGTCGTCAACTAGAAGGAGCTCTATTATCACTATTTAAAAATCCTGCATATAAATTTTTAATAATATTATGAACACGATGATGATATAATTGATAATATGTTCTTTTATTTAAATTTCCTTGAAAGCAAAAATAAATTTTTATATAGACCTTATAATATTATATTGATATAAATATTTTTTTACTATGTTATGTTATTTAGATAAAGACTTACTCATTCGCCTGTGGCTGAGGTAGAACAGAAAAGGAATGAAGTACCGCTGGTCCATTAGCAGTTGAGGATATCAATGGAGCCTCACTCTGTTCGGAGCTTGAAATATCAGCACCACCTTCTGTTGTGCTAGAACTAAAATAATGAACAAGTATTATGTTTGTATTATATGCATATGTGCTTTCATTCTATAAGCTGTTTTATAAAGAATATATAAAACTAAGTCAGGTAAATTGCACTATTTATAACTCAAGAATGGCTGGACTGATTTTTATGATCTTTGATTTGTTAGATTTTTCTCCGCCCCGAACAGCAGAATAACTATTAAAACATCCGAAAAATTGGCGAAAAAAAAATAAATATACATGGCTAACGGTGGCTGGCCAAGCGAAGCGAGGTTAAGTCAATAGCTAGTAAAGAATAAAACTAGTCTCAAATATAAGGAAAAATTCCAATAATTTTATTTCGTAGAGTTTTATACACACAACACCAAAAAACAATATAAATTTAACAGAATAAGTCTTAATCATAATAAATCATATAAATCAATATTCCACATATTTTATCCTTTCCAGACTTTGAATTAATACTGATATAAAAATGTCATCATAGGCGTTTTTTAACCTTTAAAAAAAAAAATATTTTCTATACACTTGTGCAGAGAAATTTAATATAAAGAAATGTAATATTGTACATATTATGTAGTGTAATAATTCCAATGAGGAATAAAATAATTAAAATCATTATGATGCTAAAGTTAAATAAATACCTGATGCCTGTGCTAAGGACTTCCTGTGCAGCGCTGCTTATGTCGTTCACATCATCACTACTGGCCACACCTTCTCCCCCACCCATATCTTCATCCATTGTACTTGATTCTTCTGAAATCGTTATAAAAGGTTTTTAGTTGCATGATAATTAAAGTTTGCTATAATAAATGGTGCAAAATATTTTGGTCAGTTAAGAAAGAAGGTGCTTAATTTAAATGTATGTTTTTTTTGTATTGTATGATATCTATGCTAATTATGAACCAAATTTATTGATTTATTTATAATGAATAAGGTGCAGTTCAAGAATAGTTTCATATAAACAAGAAGAAATTTTCAAGAACCATCATCATCTCCCTGCCCATTTCCCAATCAAGTTTCAAAACTGGCCGCCTGCCTGACATCAACTCTCCTTGGGAATAAGAAATTTTCAAGAACAAATAATTTTTTTAGGAATAAATTTAAAGAAAATTCCTAAGGGTGTATGTGTGTTACATTTAAGATAATTTTGATACATTTATAAAATAAATAACATTTAATAATTTTTTTCATAGTAGAAACATGAAAGTATAAAATTGCAAAGGTCACCTTCTTGAATCATTGGTGCACTTCCTTCAATTGGCATACCCGAGCTTATAGATTGATCTGGTGACTCTTCCTGGGCAGCATCAACATCTTCACCTTCGCCTTCTCCCCCTTCTAAATCTTGATCTTTCAGCAAGGGCTCCATATTTTCTTCTTGTGGAGAATTATCTTCTGTTTCAGCCTGAAATAATTTATCTAATTAATTCATTTGCTATTGGACAATTTACTATCAATAATGTAACAGAAATATACAACTTTCATTATCAATTATAAAATTCAAAAGTACTATACTAAATATTACAATTTCATATTAAATACCTCATAGACAGTGGTTCCTCAAACTTCTAATATCTATAATCTCAGAAACTCACAAACTTTACCTCTTTATAATATTAGTATAGATTTAAATTTAAACACAAATATACTCACTGGAGTTGACAAACAATTATCTCCTATATATGCAGGCTCGTCAACTGTTCCAGGAGTAGTGTCATCTATGTCCATTTCTTCTTCTGCCTCTGCATTATCTACAAATAACATTTTTATTTAAATGAATTTTAAGTAGTAATTAAAGATGTTTCATACACATAAAATCAGTATTAAACAGAAAAGTTATGAGTTATTACAGTGAAGTTTGAAATAATCTCCATCTCTTGATTACCTTGCTCTGGTTGTTCGTCATTTTCTTGCTGTTCACCAGGTTCTACATCCAAAACATCACTGCTGCTTGTTGGATCACCTCCATTTGTTGCTACATGCAATAACATTATTGCTAAATAAAATATCTTGAAACATGCAAAATAGTTACAAAACTTCAAAAAAAGCAATAATTTTAAATAAAATTAGAATATATACTACATACATAAAAAAAGCACATTTAATAATCTTGTAAGGATTAATCAAAAAAATAAATAAATGCATTCTTTGATATTATATTAACACACCTCCATTATTTGCAGCAGGAACTGCTTCCGACTCATTCGCTGCTATGTTATTTACTGCATCTTCCCCAATTGTTTCAGCTGGATTGTCGATCAAAGGGGACATTTCCGCGCCATCGGGAACATCACCGTGAAGCGCAGAGTCTGATTCCATTTTAAAGCAATTTGACACACTGAATTAGTTAAACACAATTAAACATTGAAATATAATAACTAGTAAGCAATATAACAAAACATTTTTAGAAATATTAACAAAATTTCAATTTATTTGACAGTTAGTAAAGTCAGTCCATACTGCCAAGCCAACTCGGCGTCATTTTTTTTTTTTTTTTCGAGTGTCAAGCTGCAAGGGATTCAAGTAGAATTTCATTGTACCCAAGACAACAAAGACACAAACATTAAACTATATATGCATAATATTATCTTGAGTTAAATAATATTATTTATTTATTCCTCACGGTGAGGGAAAACATCGTGAGGAAACCTACATGTCTGAGAGAACTTAGTAAATTTTCGAAAAACATATTGTGAAGTCCGCCAATCCGCATTTGGCCAGCGTGGTGGACATGGCCTGATCCCCATGATCGTATTGAAGGGAGGCCCGTGCCCATCAGTGGGACGTTAAAAAAAGGGCTAAATACATTTAGTTATTAAATTTTAAATATTGTTTAAATTTGTCCCAAAAAGAAAAAAACTGAAGAAATTGGGAAGAATTTTGGGCAATCAGATCAGAAGAAGAATCAGAAATTATGGGCTAAAGACTAAAGTAATAAGACGACCAAAATTGGCGAAATCACGATGTTTATATTTAAGGCTATGTAAATATTATTTTACAAAAAATTATGTTAAAACTATTAAGTCGTCTATAGGTGTATATTTATCTATTTTTGTACTTTTTTACTACTATTGGAACTTTTACAGATACGTAATATAATACCATGTTTAACTTTGTCTGTGGCGTCACGGCATAGGCAAATGCCAATGTGACACTGGTTCACTGACATGTCAGTAATGTATTGACTGTTGACTTTAGGGAGAGGCCTCGAGGAGGGATTAAAAAATAAAGAAAAATACATACATACCTATTTAAGGTTGTTTTTAGGAAATGCAAATCAAATACCTATTACTTATACTTTTTAACAAATTTTGTTTTTTTTTTCTTTAATCAATTTTACGTCACAAACTAATCAATATAACATTTATTTTACTTAACTTTATGAATAGTTGTGATATCTAATTGCCTGTCTTTTTTTTTAATTAATATTTTCCTTTAAGATTAAAATATCACTTTTATATTCAAATTATGCTTTTTAATCTTTAAATTAATATTCATCTTGTAGGGAGCATTTATCAATATGTCAACAAATAATAACAATGAAAAACCTGGTGATGGAATCCGTTCTATGAGATCTACAACAGCATTCAGAGTTATCAACTTTGAACTTTATGCTAAACCAGTATGTATTTATTGTTTATTTTTTGTATGCATTATTTCATATATATGAATTTTATTTATTACACGTAATTGCTTAATTATCTACTTTTTCAGAATATAGTGATCATGACTATAGGCCTTACATGTTTCGGTCTTACGTTAGGCTATATCGCTTACATGAGACAAAAATATGAATCAATGGGCTACTATACTGCTGTGGATAAAGATGGAAAAGAAATTTTTGAAAAACGCAAATCAAAATGGGATTAATGCTGATAATAATATTATATAAGAAATGTATAAAATTATTTAGTAATATGAATTGTTTAATAGGAAAATTACTAAACGAGAATGTTTTCTGTAAATATTAATTTAATCATTTAATTATTTTTTATTATAAATCTATACAAACATTAAATTCATATCAATGATTCAATATGGAATAAATAATTTGTATCAAATTAAATGTATCATGTATGTATGTATATATATAGGAGGCAAAGTGAGTGAGTGTTATGGCTCTTGAAAAGTGATACCTTAGATTTAAGATCAAAAAAGTAGCTTCATTAAAATAGATTAGTGTTAACAATACATATTATATTAAAAAATCTTCTTCAAGGCTAGACTAAAAGCAAATCAAAGGCAAGGCCATAGTGCCTTAATATTAAGAAAGTTTTTGCTCATGAATAAAGTAATATATTTCATACAATATGTATATTGAATTTGTTTTATTTTTTAGATATAAATAAATTAAAAAAAAATTACCTTATTTTAAAAATGCTAAATTAGGTGATTTGCTCTCTCCCGGGGGAGAAGCCAACTCCTACCGGGCGCGTCACCAGGTGGCGGATAGGGGAATGCCACCCGCTTAGGGCGGCGGGTGGTACCGGAGAAATCCGGCGCGGACCAAATGGCTTGGGTGGGGCCGCTCGTCTAGGACTCGAGCCGAAGACGTTGAGGCCACCGGTGGTGGGACCGCTTGGTCCCACAACCGGATGATGGGTGCCGGTTGCGGGACTGTGGTCGCAGGCCCGCATCCGGCGGAGGAGTAGGCTGCGGCGGGAGAGGAGTGCCGGTATTTCGGTGCGCCGTTCTCCCTACCTTCCGTGGCCTAGACGGGGCCGCCACCGTTTGATGGCGGACGCGGTGGGGCTGCAGGGGAAGAGGAGTGTCGGTGTTTCGTTGCCGCTCTCCCTGTCCTCTGCAGCCGATTGGAGGTGGCCCACTTCGGTGGGCGGTGGTTAGGTTTAATGGGGCTGCTCCGGGTACCTCTCTGGCGTAGCAGAGTTGACTGTGGAGCAGCCCCATTGGTTTGGTGATCTGCCTAGCGCTTCGGCAGACCTGCCGCCGGGGCGCCGTAGTAGTTATGCGCAAGCGATCCTGCGGCGTCCCATTAAGGCGGAGGGGAGGGGAATGTCGGGTTTTAGTGGGTAGTACCGGCTCTTCTAGCCGGTGAGCCCCACATCACCACCTGGGGGATCAGGTGGTATGCGTAAATGCATTTCCCGACATAAAAAAAAAAAAAGTTGATTTGCTCTCTAATAACAGAGTGGACCATCGGAGCGACCTAAAAACGTTACATACTCCATGGGAACAACCCTTGTTGTGGTTTACTTCGGTAGGTTAGCAATAGGAGCGTCGTGGTTGAGTGCTTTAGTGGTGCATTAAGGGCCGCTCCACACTAAAGTGCCGATCAACTATCAAGGTTCCCTTTCGGTCCGATATCGTTCTGGTAAAGTATTGATATACAAGAATGTAGTCTCCTTAATCTGTGTACAAGAAGCAATGAGTGCATTCACATTTCACACTATCGGTAAGGCCGGATCCACACTATAGTGCCCGTCACGGTTCATTCTCGATCTGATATCGGTCTAGTAAACATGTTTTGTACAATAAACAATGAGTGCATTCACACTATTAGTAAAATTCAGGTTCCGGTCAAATCCAGTAACGTTTCTTGTATAAAAATATTTTACTCAGACCCATATCGGACCGACAACGAACCGTGATCGGCACTATAGTGTGGATCGGGCCTAAGAGTCACGTTCCGGTCGAATCACACTCCAGCAACGTTTTACGTTTCTTATATAAAAAAACTTTACTGGACCGAGAACATACTGTGATCGGTACTAGTGTGGTTCGGCCCTAAGAATGAGAGTTCCATTGGATTTTAGTGGGTGGTACTGGCTTCTCAAACTGTGAGTCCAACATAACCACTTATATGTATGTAGATGGTATGCAAGAGGTAGGTTGTCAGCATGTGTAAATACATTTCTCAACTTAAAAAAAAAACAAATAGGCGTAAACTCTGCCTAGCCCAAAACCTAGTTTCTTGTCAAGTACATTTTATAGTTTTGGAGAGTCGAGACACCAAAATGTTCATAAAGTGTTATAAATGTATACTAAAATCTGTGAATACATTTTGAAACAATTTGCATAAATATAATATTACTACCGACTCACACTCGCTTCGTTCGGATCCGTCCCTAGGTTGATTCCCCATACAAACTTTTATCCCCATTTTCAACTCCTTAAGGGATGGTTTCCGGGATAAAAAGTATTCTATGTCCTTCCCAGGGTCTCAAACTATCTTTTTATTTTTGGTAAAAACCAAATTTCATCTAAATCGGCTCGGTAGATCCAGAGATTGCCGTACAACGTCACAAACTCACAAACTTTACCTCTATAAAATATTCATTTTTCTTAATTGTAGGTATAGATTAAGATGAAGATATTTTTTTCCGTTAAAGAGAGATAGTTAATATGGTTCTATTAATAGAACACACTAGTGGAGATGTTTAATTAAATAGAATATTTAAATATTGAGATTCATCAGACGACACGTTTGGCTCAGTTTGTTGACGTGCTTGCAGTGCCAGCGGTCGCTGGTTCGAATCCCGCTGGGGACATTCATTTATGTGATGAGCACAATTGTTTGTACTCAAGTGATGGGTATTTATATTTATAATATGTATGTATTTAAAGTTATATATGTGTAGTTTATCAACTATCTGGTATCCATAACAAGCCTCATAGCTAGTTATCATGGAACTATAGATAGTGCTGTGTGTTAATGTCCCAAGACATTTATTACTATACTAGTATTGCCCACGGCTCCGCTCGCGTTCAGATAACCAAAAACCAAATTCTTAGGTTTTACATATTAGTATACTCTTACATTACTGTTTTTGTATTTTTTCTCAGAAATGAGACATTCTCCCGTGGTAAAAAGTATCCTATATGTTGACCCGGATAACTAGCTATCACTATACTAAATTTCATCAAAATCCCTCCAGTGGTTTTTCTGTGAAGCTGTAACAGACAGACAAACAAAAATTCTAAAAAGTATAGATTCGTCCTCTATATCGATAATAATGTTTATCAAAAAAATATCTAATGTGCAGATTCGGCTTAGTTACACTTTTTTTATTATATGTATAGTTATTTATCAGTTGGTGTAATCGCAACAAAATTAGATTATATTGCGATGGAACGTGATTTTTATATAAACGTATCGCCTGAACTTTTACTTTAACAATATTATATAAAAAAATAAACTTAATATATATGTCTGTACATACCCTAAGCGACCAAAACATTTTTTATTATCTAATGTCATTTGTCATTATGGCATTTGTAAGATTATGTTTTTTAAACAAATTTAATATTTATGTAAATGGTGAATAGTCAATAGTGTCACGTTTACATTTTTTGTTTAAAGTTTGTAATACAGAACTATTGTACCTTTTTTCTTCTTTTATTCTTTTTAATATCGCCATTCGACTACTGCCTGTACAATAAGCTGAAAATGTTTTCTGCACTGAAGAAATTAACAAGAAGTGGAGATGATCGTTGCCCAGCACCAATGCCTATGTCGACTTCTTTGCAAAAGAAATTTTCTAGAGGCGTACATTTTAACAGTAATCATTTTATTTTGCACTTAATTATTAAACATATGTATACTTATATATTTTCTTCGCCGTAAAACAAAATTAATTAATATCAAAAAAAATTAAAATCATATATAATTTTCTAGATATCCGTTAATTTATGTTTTAGTGAAAATATTAATAAAAGGAGATAGAAATGTTGGTAAGTCTTGTTTATTACAAAGATTGCAAGGTGGATCATTCACAGAAGAATATGTGCCTACAGAACAAATACAAGTTGCTCCCATACATTGGACATATAAAAATACTGATTATATTGTTAAAGTAAGTTATGTATTCATATTAATGTTGGAATTAGAAATAAAGAATTGTATTTTAAATAAAAGTATCTTTTCGGATTAGATTTTTTGATCCCGATGTTTAAAAAAAATCAAAATAAATTCGCAAAAAAATCCGAAAAGATCGTTTTATTTAAAATGTCAAATATTCTGTAATTCTAAGAAATTCTTAAATGTAGTTAATATTATGAGTAATTAAATGTAATATACATTAATAAATATTGTATTTATCAAAACAGTAACTTTTGTATCATTCATATATAAACTTTTTAGTATTAGTATTTTTAGTAGCACCATATTTATATTCATGATTGAGTTGATATTTAAGAATTAATACCTATTTAATAGGTTGAAGTGTGGGAAGTAGTAGATAAAGGTCGCACTAAAAAGAAGCCTCCTCTTGGGCTTAAATTAGAAAATCAATCTGCACCATCAGTACCAGAAGAGGAATATGAAACACCAGTTCTAGATGCAACTTTTCTAGATGTTTACAAAAATGCAAGTGGAGTGATATTGATGATGGACATTACAAAACCTTGGTATGTTAATATTTACTATATATGAATGCAAATATATAATTAGGTCTTATGACTTTTATTTATATACAGATAAGCAGGTTGATATTTTATTATAATACTAGCAGTACCTGCAGCTTTGTCTACATTCAAACTACTAAAATAACAAACTCTGACACACAGACAGCAGCGCCACCGGGTCCAATTGTGTTTTCAAACCATCCAGGAGCCCATTCAAATATACACACAAAATTTCATCTAAATCGGTCCAGTGCTTTAGGAGGAGTAAGGCGACAACCATACATACAGAAGAATTATATAAATTAAGATATTATTATTTATTATTTGATTATTATTTGTGTTTGATTTTAAATTGTAATAATTTTAGGACTTTTGAGTATGTAGTTAAAGAGTTGACCCGTATACCAGCAGACTTACCTGTAGTGTTACTTGGCAATCACTGTGACATGCAACACCACCGCCAAGTTCATCCACATCACATAGAACAGGCTATGCATCATGCTAAAATGACAAGGTAAAATTATTTTTGTATCAGCCCTAACAAAATAAATGGAAAATTCTGTAAACCTAGAAATACATAAAGAATATTATTAAAAACAGGAATAAATAATATTATTATCATGATAGTTGAGTTGTTTTTAGTTAAAAATTAGTAGAGTTTTATTTTATATTCATTTTAGGACAGCTCCTATTCGCTATGCAGAATCTTCAATGAGGAATGGCTTTGGTTTGAGATTATTGCATAAATTTCTCAGTGTACCATTTCTAAGACTTCAAAGAACTAGTCTTTTGGAACAATTACAGAGAAATCAAAAAGATATGGAGGAAAATGAAAAAGAATTAGATGATTTTCAGGTAAGTTAAAAAATTTAATTACTCGCCTTATTATATTTTATTGGCATATTTTATATTTAAATTAGACTAAGCAATAAATTATTTGAATTAGTTTTTAACCGATGTCCAAAAAGGAAGAGGTTCTCAATTCGTCGGAATCTTTTTTTTTATGTATGTTCACCGATTACTCAAAGACGCCTGAACAACCCTTACGCACGATTGAAGTAAAACTTTTTCGCTGTGGTAGGTACCGAAATTAAACTAAAACAACTCAAAATATAAATCTAATATTTTTTGAAAATTATTATTTTTTTTTATAAATTAACTGCCTCGGTGGTGTAGTAGCTAGCATGTACGGCTGCACACTCGGAGGTCCTGGGTTCGAGTCCCGGGTCGGGCCAAGTTTAGTTATTGAGTCTTTCTATATAGTAAGTCTCAGTAACAGCCCGGAGTTGGGAAGTTGGCGGTGTTTCACCCCCGTGCCTCGGAGAGCACGTAAAGCCTTAGCTCTCACCGGTCGTGTCGAGTAGTCGTCCCACCGGAGTATGAGAGAGACAGGAATAGAGAGTGCACGTTGTGTCTGCGCGTATACTTGTGCACTATAATATCTCCTGCGCAGTTGGCTTGTCTCAATGAGATTGGCCGCCGTAGCCGGAATCGGCTAGGAGAACATCATTTTTATAAATATAATACATAGTTTAATAAATATAATACTAAATTTTTTATAATTGAATAAAGGATAATATTTATAAATATAATACTTCTTTTAATTATTTATAATAAAGACTCTCACTTCCGAGACACTTATTTTTCTAATGTGTTGATTGACTCGTCAATCAACCACCCCTTAAAGAATTTTTACTTAAAAATATTAAGGAAAAAATTATATTGTGTTAATTTCTCAAAATAATGATATACTTTAATTTTCACAACTAAACTAATTAATGCTTAACAATTATATTTCAGAACTCAGATGAGTCTCACTACAATATATTCTTAGACCGTCTGGCGAGTAAGAGGCGGCTAAGTGCAGAACCAGAACCTAGAGTAATCACTGATCGCTCACCGAGTATTGTGCTTGGAGCAGGGAAACCAATAGTGCCACCAAATGTTAACCCACTTGTAAGAAAGCTATTAATGTATTCTTATTGTAATAGACTAAATTGGGCTATAAAAATTGAAAGAATGAATGTTACTTCAAATTCAATTCAATTTTCTTGTTAATGGCTTCAAAGTGTGTCAGTTGAGCACAGATTAGTGTTAACCTGATTTCTACAACTTAATATGTTACTACTAACCAACTATGTATGTGTCATATATTTTTTTTAATATAAGAGTATCTGTTGTTATAGATTAATTCCTTATATTTTTGTTACAGCTAGCACAATCCTTAAATCCCACCGTAACAAAAGTACAGAGTAATGGTAATAACCAACCAAAACAGAGCCAATATGTAAGCTCAGATTTAATTAAGAGTAAACCACCTGTTAGTATGGAGATGACACCCTCAAAATTGCCACAAGACAGGTCAGTACTATAAATATGCTTGTTTTCCCTTATAATACCATAATCAAATCTATACATATAATAAAATTGTAACTAAGCCGAATCTGTACATTAAATATTTTTTGGAAAATCTAATTGAAATAAACATTATCAATATAGAGGCCTAATCTATAGTTTTTAGAATTTTTGTCTGTCTGTTACCGCATCACAGAAAAACCACTGGAGGGATTTTGATTAAATTTGGTATGGTGATAGCTGGTTATCCGGGTCAACATATAGGATACTTTTACCGCGGGAAAATATCTCATTTCTGAGAAAAAATACAAAAACTGCAATGGAAGAGTATACTAATATGTAAAACCTAAGAATTTGGTTCTTGATCATCTGAACGCGGGCGGAGCCGAAGGCAATGCTAGTCATCAATAAATAGTAGGAATTGGAGAATTGCTTATAATTGCTTGGTGGTGGATCGTTGCTTTCAAAATTTAATATACTGGTAAAGACGAAAGTGAAAGTTGACTTTTAGACAGTGTTTTTTACTCGAAGTAAGAAAAAAATGTGCTAATGAAATTACCAGAAACTTTAACAAGTTAATTAGATATAAAAATATATGGCGTATTATCTTAGTGTACCCAGCACTCCATCAGGAACAAACATATCTATGTCAGGATCATCAGGTGCCTTAGATGAGTTTTATGCGGGCACTTTGGATAGCAGCTTTTTAGAAGATCTTGCCCCACTTCCTAACACTAACCAAGAAATGACTTGTGAGACTGATAGGTAAGCATTAATTAATTTTGATATCATCACAGTTACTACTAAGAGACACATTCAATCCAATTTTATTTGTACTGTAAAAACAATGTATTCATTTTAAGCATGATTATTTGCATTGCAAGTATAGACTCAATACTTATAAATATTGGAGTTGGGGTATTTTTATTCAAAAATTACCTCTTTATATCAAACTAGCGACTCACCCTTGCTTTGCCCTAGGTACGATTTAACGGTTAGTATGGAATAGATAGACTATATATTATTATATGACTATTAGCCTATAAGCCTTTCTCTATAAACGGGATATCTTATGAAAAAAGATTTTTTCAAATCGGATTAGTAGTTTCTAAGATTAGCACGTTCAGACAAACATACAAACAAACTCTGCCTTTTTATAATATTAGTTTAGGTAATCCATACTAATATTATAAATGTAAAAATTTGTGAGGATGTTTGTTATTTTTTCACGCTAGAACCTCTGAACGGACCTGGATGAAATTTCGCACAGAGATAGATTATAGTCTGGAATAGCACTTAGGTTACTTCGCGTGGGACAGATTTGTTTTTGTCTAGGGACCAACCCGATGCGAAGCGAGGGTGAGTCAATAGAATTCAATAAAAACTACCAACAAAATAATATCAACAAACTATATTAAATAGGTTTTTAATTGTGGTGTATACTGTATAGTAATTGTATTAATATGAAATAAATTAAATTTTATTTTGTAGTGAGGATGACGCAAACCCTAAAGTAATAGTTGACAATGATGATTTGGATATTGAAGGTAGCCCACAGATCACAGAAACAGTAAGAACAGATTTAAGTGCACAATCTGAATCAAGATCAAGCAAAAGTGATGATGTCTTAAGAAACATGTTTATAAGCAAAGCTGTTATTAGCAAAAACAATGAAGATGTCAGCGATAGTATATCAATTAGTAACAGTACGCAAAATATTGATATGCACAGTGATTTTCCGTTGTGGGCTGGTGATTCAAGTGTTAGAAGATCTCCAGAAGGTAACAGAGTCCAGAAAGTAACATAATTATTTTTTTGAAACTAAAAAAAAAGGAATTTCAATAGGATAATAAAACGATATTTTTATCACATTACTTGTTTTGGTATAAAATATTGATTTTTAAATGAAAATTACGACTTACGAATTTTTAAATGAAAATTACGATTTTTGCTTACTCATAATAATTAATAGTTTCATTTATAAATCCATTTTGATTAAAATACTATGTTTATAGGTGGCGAAGATCCTGATCTATCTAAAGAGCCTGATATTAAAGTAAGTTGATGGTTATTCTACTAATATTATGAATGTCAAAGTTTGTGAGGATGGATGTTTGTTACCCTTACAAGCCAGAACAGCTGAACGGATCTGGATGAAATTTGGCACAAAAATAGATTATAGTCTGGAATAGCAACAATGGGATAGCTACTTTTTATCCCGGAAAAATGTACGGTTTCCGTGGGATAGATTTGTTTTTGTCTAGGGACGAACCTGAAGCGAAGCGAGGGTGAGTGCTGCTAGTTAATAACTTAATTATTATCTACTAGGCTTAATCAATTAAGCAATTTTACACATATGATAATTTTTACTTTGTATTTTAAAGGCTGAAAAGAAACACAAAAAGAAGAAATCCAAGGATAAAGGTAAAGGAGACTACAGCGACAAATCTGATCGAAAGGAAAAAAAGCATAAACATAAGAAATCAAAAAGTGAAAAACCTAATCCACAGAAAGACTTATTAGAGCCCTCCTCCTTAACAACTGCAGAGTTTAATTACGAAGAATATGACAGCATTTAAAATTATACAAATCTGAAATCAAATACAACTTTTAGTCTAAGATCTGAAGTACAATCTTTTTTAGCTGTTCTGGTTGCCGGATGTAAAGTATTTTATGAAGTCATATAATATGCTTAAACAAATATATCGCAGTCGGATTGCCTAATGAAATATGTTCAAGGGACCCATTTACTTAAATTAAGTAATATTTTTATGTTACATTTATTTGCCCCAGCCCACTAGTTGGGACTGCGCTGTCTCTGTATATTAAACCAAATCGTATGCAAAACAATGCTACGCTGTCGCACATCTTGACTTGCTCCGAATTTTAAAGCCTGGCCAGGATTTATGACAGTTATACTTTTAATTAATATCAGATTTATAGGAAGTAAATATTGGATAAAATTTTATTACTACATATTTTTAATAAAAGTTAGCTTTGATCATATTTCGAAGCCCATCTGCGATATGTTTGTTTACATATGTTATATAAATACTTTTTAAACGGGTGAAGGGCGACTTTACTTCAGATGATCATACCTTCTATTATTTTAATGTCCTGAAGCAATTTGCTTAGTAGAATGAATGTCAGCATCAGAAATGAAATGTTAATTGTTATTGTAGTACGCAAAATTGTAATGTATTTGGTGTTGTCCAGTTGTTATACAGACATACATACTTTGTTGTTGTTCATAGATGTATAGTATGGACTTGTTATTATCTATGAAAATTGGAAATGCATTTTGTACATGCAAATAATGGTAAGCTGCAATAATATAAACAAACTAGCATAACCCGCGACTACGCCCTCGTTCAATTTACAAAACAAACTCTTTGACTTTATATTCTACAGCGACTCACTCGTGCTTCACACGGGTTCTTCACTATGTATTTATATAATACTAGCGACCTACCTTCGCTTCGCTCGGGTTCCTCCCTAGCTTGCTTCCTAATACAAACTTTCATCCCCATTTTCACCCCTTTAAGGGATGATTCCCGGGAAAAAAAGTATCCTTCCCAGGGTCTCACACTATCTTCTTACCAAATTTCATCTAAATCGGTTCTGTAGATCCAGAGATTACCCCCTACAACGTCACAAACATTATCTCTTTATAATATTAGTATAGATTGTCCATACAAAAATTGCGATTAAAAAATTGGTTGGGCATAGGAGGGTGAAAAATACTTTCTACTACTTACGACCTATACTCATACCCACCAAATATACAAAAAAAATCATTAAAATCGGTCAAGCCGTTTTGGAGGAGTGCGACCACAAACACCGTGATACAAGATATTTATATATGTATTAGATAAAACATAATAATTGTACGTACATTTTTAAGTATGTAATATGTAGTATGTACTGTACTACACACCATCTGCGGTTTCTAAGCCAAAATCAATTTACACCGTATTGCAAGATCTTCGTGATGCTAGCTTTATTTTATATGTTGTTTTGTAAAGAGAGACAAGCATATATTAACTTTTGATGTACAAATGTGCTTGTTTAAAATCCACGCACCGTAGGAAGCTCTAATAAATGGTTTTGTTTCACTTACATGTCCTACGATATATCTACATATGTCTATTGTTGTATTCAGCGCTTTTAAACGTCCTAATGTTGGGCACGGGCTTCACTTCTCTACAAGGGGAAATCAGGCCATACAGTCACTCACGCTGGCCAAGTGCGGGTTTGCGGACTTCACACATATCTTTTGAAAAGCTAGGTTCTCTCACACACGCAGATTTCCTCACGATGTTTTCATTCACCGTAAGGCAAGTGGTAATCATGTTGGAAATGATTCGCGCAATAAAATATCAGAGGTACGAACGAGAATCGGGATTTGAACCCGCTTCACTCGTTTTCTAAAGTGAGCGCATTACCAATAGGCTACTTTATGTCCGCTATTAACACAACAATTTAAAACTTTAAATATTTCATAGATTGAAAAATTTGATGGTCCCTTAACTGGCACGCTTTGAAGCTATTAACAAGAAAATTGAATTAAATTGAAAATTTGCCAAGTGGAATGCCGACGACAGGCTCAGTCCATATTATACACGTGATTGTTATAGAAAGATGAGATTTTAACTAAGCTTTTATGCTTTGTTGAACCTTTCCTTAATATATGCCACTACGCTAGATGTGCTACGCGCTATCTGTCCGTTTTATGAGTATATTGAGCAAAAAGCGTTTTAAAGAGGTACTAATTATTAGGTATTATAATAAATAATATCTATTAATGTTAAAAAAATTGTAATGGCACTTTGAATGTTAATGTTAAAACAAGTGCTTTTCGCTAAGCTAATTATATATTTTTTAAGCTTAGGATATAATACCCTATTTGATATCAAGTATAGTTTAATAGTTTTTGTATAACTCTGTTGAATTCTGAATAATGCTGTAGAAGTGGTAGATTTTGATCTTCGTAATAGGTTAATTTTGTATTGACCATACAAAAATTCTCAATGGAGAATCAAAATGCATGTCATACGTAATACTTTCTTAGATTTACGCGAATATTTGACATTTTAAATAAAACTATCTTTTCGGATTTTTTCGCGGATTTATTTTAATTTTTGGATCCCGATTGGTTTTTTTCATAATTTTTTAAAATGTTTAGAATTAAAATTAATAAATATTGTAAGGAACTTTGGCGCCATTTTTGTATTTTTGAAATCATTTTGTGAATTTGAGGGTTCGGCCTGTAAGAAGAGATGTCTATAACCTTAGTCTCTTCCGTGACCATGATTGCTGTAAAGTATTCGAAACGTCGGGAACCAAAAATCTAAATAAATTCATGAAAAAATCCGTTAATATCCGAGAGCCTGCAAGGGCATAGAGTTAAATTATAAAATTATATTAGTGTTCTAAATTTACTTTAATGAATGTAACTATAAATTGTATTTGAAACATTCCAGATATGTATTAATTATTAATATATTGCATTTATATTGGCAATATCGAATTAATTTTCCGGTATAACACAAGTCACAACTCTAGTCATAACAAAAAAAATTATAATTTTATTATATTAAAATTGCAAAGTTTATAAGTATTTATAATCTGAAAAAGATATTCTCATATTGGATTTATGAGACGACTTTCGAAAATTAAAAAAAAAAAAAACAAATTTATTATACTGAATATTCTTGTCTTAACAGTTCATCAGTCGCTTCCAACGACAGAATCCATGATTAAGATATATGTATTTGATTATTGTATTATTTAAAGGGTTTTAGAGAATTATTTCTAAAATATCTATAAGATGAGTGTATCTGCTAAAAGCTTTACAGAATCACTGAAGTGAGTGTGTGTGCAATTATTGAAAGCTTAATAAATAATGTTTAATATCAAAAACTTTTTTATTGTGGTTATGCTTATTGTAAAATAAATTAATTTTTACATTTTTTTCGTATTCAGTTCCCAAACTTCCCTTTAATAAATACATTCTGATGTCAAACTTAATTTATCGTACTTCATTAAATGTTCATCCTTTTGTAATGTGAAACTTTGATTTGGAAAATGATCCCACTTTAATAAATGTATAAAATTTAAAAGGCATTATTGATTTATATACAGTCATGTAAACATATCGTACTTGAATTTAGTGTCAAATAAAGTAGGAGAAAGCTGGTACTAACAATGATGGGTGATATTGTTTTCAACGAAAGAATTTTAATAAATAGATTACAATCTATTCAAAATGTAAATATACAACCACATCGATATTTTTATTGGTTAGATTATAAAAATTGGACCACTTGTGTGAAGTCCACGCAGTAATGTAACAATATTACAAACAAAAATCTCTACATAACAGAACTTACAGATATTAGTCAACTTTATTTTATACAATCTATAGTACACGATTATTTAACATTAATATTTACCTAATATTATATTTTATACATTCTATGTATAGTAGATAATATTCTCGATTTGTAATAAGTTAATAAAACTATAAAATATTCTCTTCAGTTAAAGTATAGGCATTCAATAAGGCTAAGTAGGTAATGAAACGATATTTGGTGATTTTACAGTTGTCTTTGAATACGATACGAAGTACTTACTTGATAAAAGATTTATACAAAGCACTTTGTACTTGCCTTTACGTTTTATTTGAATAAAAGAATTTTAATTCAAATGCCTCGAAACTAATGCAGTCTAAACTTAAAAAATAAATTACAAAATTGCATGATCATTTGGTGGATTATTATCGCAAATAAAAAAGTTAAAAAAAGGTACAAAATAGAACAAAATGCTGTCAAATTATATTACAATTATCACACTTACAAATACACCTGCCGATGCAATGTTTCCTCCGATGTACACACCGATTGTACTTCATTGTATATTGCAAGAATGTGTTAAAAGAGGAACCATAACAACGAGAGAGGTCCATTCAAGTTTTATTGCAATATAATAAGAATATTTTAATACATTCAAAAAAAATCTCAAATTCATTTTTATTATGTAAAAAAAGATCACATTATTTACTGACTGATTATGACAATGTAGATATAAAATATGTATAAAAAATAGTAAATGCATATAATGTTATATAATAAGTAAAAAATAAGTATTATAACAGTAACTTTCATTAGGACAAAGGTAGATCATCATTTTTTTTCTTTTTCTGCCATATAGGATATATCGAAAGACATTAGCATATGTGTAATTAAAATACAATATCATAATTATTGGAACTCCTATTCCAATTTAAAAGAAGATAACCCTTATTGTTTTAATAAAACCACTTCTGATAATAAAACATATTTAGAAAGGAATGTTTTAATTTAAGAGGAATATAAATGCATGTTTTAATTTACCATGACATTGATTTGCATGTATGCATGCATATTATATATATATATATATATTTGCATGCATGTATTTTTTGACTTTTTTATATTAACATAATATATACGTGAACCTTACAGTATCCGAAATGAAAGCAACTGTTATAATGTCAGTGTAGTAATTAGTTAACATACTGAATCTTTAAATCTAAAATAGATGACAAATAAATATTCTGATGTCGCAATCAGTGAGCAAATAAACACAATACATTATATATAAATATCAATTTAAGCAAAATTGGCATATACTAATAGCTGCTCAAGTACCACTCAGATCCATCGTTTTGCGCTATATACTAGTCACCTAGTGCATTGTACAGTTTTATTTTGATTATAAAACAAATATGTAAGCTAAATTCAAGTTAACACTTCATAATTCAGAAACTAAACGTCTACTAACAAGGAATGTTGATTTATAGACTGATAAACTTCATTGAGCTATTAAGGATATATCAATTTATTTTGGCCTCATTTATCTATTGAATAAAGTAAGTTTATTTAGTTTATAAGAATTTACCACGGTGTGGCGCTCTGCATAGTTCATTCTGTTATCTCTATCGTTATTGCTTTTCATAAGACCGATTTATACATAACAAACAAATGACCGCAGCCCTCCCGGGCGGCAGCTATAACACTAGTAATGTTCATATTGCATTTAAACAAACATAATTATATCCACATTTAACATATTAGGCAATTTTAAACATATTTCAACAGATTTCTTTTTTGGGTTGCCAAGTGCACAGGGGAGTGATTCCAAGTAGGTATTTGGTTGTGTGAGTTTCCACTATTCTGTTTTGCTATTTCAAATATTCTAGTTCCACTCGAGTACAACAACGAGGCGAGAAACAACAACATCTATTTGAATGAAGAATTCACTAGTTTCTAATATAATTAATCTGTATCTCTCATAAACTATGGGCTGCAAAATAATTTGAATGCATCTCTAGCTTCCTTAAACTTAGCTTAACTAGATAATCTTATTTACATTTACTAACAATAATTGTTCAAATTTATAATTACATCACGCGAACTCTCCGCGGAGTTCCGTCAGCGTTTGTGAGTGTGAGTGCGAGCGCGGGGCGCGCGGGCGGCCGGCGCGGTCAGTCCACGCGCGACGCCTCGGGGTACCCCTCGTCCAGGTAGCTGTGCAGGGCGTGCGAGTGCCCCGCGTGTCCCCCGTGCCCCCCGTGTCCCGCGTGCGAGGAGTGCGCGCTCAGCGACTCGAAGCTCACGCTCTGCTCCACGAAGGTATGCACGGGCGCCGGCGGCTCCACGCGGAACTGCCCCAGCGCCCAGGGGTCTCCCCAGGGCGCCGGCGGCGGCGTCTGCAGCATGCCCGTCACCTCCACGCCGCCACCCGTCACCCCGGCGCCAGGCCCCGCGGTCGCCTCGGCATCGAACCCACCCCACAACGACTCGATGCTCGGTGTAGACGTGGGGGTACCCATGTGGTTGAATCCCCAAGAATTAGGAATTTCAGGCGGTGGGATAGGCTGAGTCACCTCGGGGACCTTAGGAAGCGAGCGTCCGTACACGTCCTGGGCTCGCGCCACTAAGTGCGGCCGCGCGGCGTGACCTCCCTCGGGGCTGGGCAGGTGACAGTCCGGGCGCATCATGGGGCTGTACTTGCCGACGCCGGGGCTCTTTTTGTTGCTGTAGCTGTTCTCTACACTGGGACGCGGTGAGTAAGGGCTGTGGTGCTGCTGGCGCGACATGGGGCTGTACTGGCCGGGCGTCTTGTTGGGGTTGCCGCGCATAGTATCACACTTCACGCCCAGGCCGGGGTCGGGGCTCGTGTGCGTCGATGGGTGCGGCGAGAAGGGCGCGTGATGTTTTGGCATGGGACTGTAATTGCCGGTGTTCCACGCCCCAGTCTTTTGTAGATCCTGCTTGACTATTTGACTGGTGTCGGGACTCGGTTGAGCAGAGTAGGGACTAGGTTGTGATGAGTATGGACTAGGCTGGGTGGAGTAGGGGCTCGGCTGTGTCGAATACGGACTCGGCTGGGCGGGGCTCGGCTGAGCGGAATATGGACTTCTTTGGGAAGAGAACTGGTTATCCTGCCTCGGCATTGGACTATAACTTCCATAGTTCCAATTGTTAGGATTCTTAATATCCTGCTCTTTATGTTTCATTGCTAAGGTTTCTGGACTAGGTTTGTTTTCTAAAGAAGTTGTCGGACTGCATTGTTCGATGACTTTGCCGTGCCTAAGTTTAGTGTGACTTTCAAGCCTATTGAGTGGACTCGCTTCAGACTTATGAGAGGGTGTACCCTTGAATTGTCCTAGATTCCAGGAGTGGTTACTTTTGACCGATTCAGGCTGGACGTCGGGGCTGCTGGGTACCTGGCTGTCGGGTTTTTGGACGGGACTAAAGTGCGGACTCCCCATGTCAGTCTTGACAGAATCCGATCTTGGCGTTGAGGAAGAGTCTGGTTTTAATTGAGCAAGGGGACTCGACAGCGTGGGCGTTTTCGAGCCTTTTGGAAATTGTGTACTTTCAATATTAGATATAACATTGTCTAAAATATTTTTGGATTGTTCAAGGACTTTACTGCTAGGAGAAGCCTTTTTATGTGCTTCAGTGGAAGTACGCTTGTCTGACAAACTAGTACCCACGTCGGATACACTTTTTGGCTCCTGAAACACTCCCTGGGAAGACTTATATGGAGATTTTACGTCCATATTACTACCTGAACTTTCGGGAACGTCGCTTTTTCGAGACTCTTTCCCCACGTCAGTTTTCGAATCAGTATCAACCTTCGATTTTTTCTTCTTGGATTCCTCTTTTTTACTTTCTTTGAGCTTAACTTTTTCTGGATCTAGACTGTCTTTCAAGTCTTGAAGTTCTTTACCCGTGTAAAGTCGTTTCATACCTCTCGGTAGAGCTCTACACGAACTTAAGTTCAAGGATTCAATATGAGGACATTTTAAAAGAACTTTCTTAACAGCTTCGTAAGAAACGGATGATCCACATAGATTGAGTATTCTGAAAGACAAAATTTATCCATTATATTATAAAAATAATGTTGGTTGGTAAACTTAACACGATATTTGAAAATTATTTAGCAAGTAGTAAGTGATTTTTACATGAGTACGACTACATCAAATGTGAAGCCTGAATGAATTTCAACCCTTTACTAAGCTATCAAAGGAAAATGCACATAACTTTTGTAATACCTAGTTTTAACAGAGAACCAGATAAAATTGTGATCACGCATCCCACAAATGAATATTTTCCTACCATGCCTGCCAATCGAAACTTACACCATTAGTACTTCACCTAACTGTTTGAAATTGAATGGTACAAGCCTTTACTGTAAATTTTGATGTTCAATTTCCTTATTCATGAATAAAGTTTATTATTATTATTATAATCTTACCTTAACTTGCTACTCGGCGAGTCGGCTAGCGCGGAGACGGCGTCGTGCAGCACCTTGGCGGCGGAGGCCCACGACAGGTCCAGCTCCAGCAAGCTGTGGGACCACTTCTCGCAGATCAGTTCGAGACACGCGTTCGTCTGGCGCAGTACGTTGCAGCCTGGTGAGTTGACATTTTATATTACTGTTTCTTGCAAATGTTTAAAAAAAAGTACTTGTAATATAAATACACGCAACAAAATATGCATAGATGACGTACGTTCATAATAAGGGTCGTCTGTGCGTTTATGAAACGTGGTGTACACAGTTTATCAGCACAGAATACGCGTTGACCAGCACTTTCATGATATTGTCTTATCAATCACAAAACTATTAATTTTAGAGACGTAAGTGTGCCCCGTCACACACCCAATTTTTTTTTTGTTTTCTGTAAACCCGTCAAAAACTCGTTCCCGTCAAAAATAAAGCTACATTCTATTCTATTAACTAACGGTACGACGTACGATTCAAACTCAATAGCTCTGAACATCGTTGGTTCCGGTGCGCAAAACCCAATACTAGGTAGCAGTGCCGGCTTTAGGGGGGGGGGGGAGGGGCAACCGGGGCGCTGCCCGTGGCGCCCGGTTATACAGGGCGCCGCGCGCGCCAGCTCAACTTAACTATTTAATTTGAATGCTTATTTTTTTCGATTTTTTTTTATTGTAATTAAATAAGTATAAGGCATGACTCGCCCGGGGCGCCCAGATGGCTAAGGCCGGTCCTGCTAGGTAGCAGTGGAACGAGACAGAGAAGAACGAGACGCTCGCAGCTAACTTCCGAACCATTATTATGTATGTCTGTACATATATTTATTTCTTTGTAATATGCACCTACACCACACCCCATTATTATTATTTTTCTCACGCTTAAGGGTTACCGGAAGAAATATCTTAAATAGATAAAATAAAATATTTAAATAAATATGTTGGTACATTAACACACAACACTATCTAGTTCCATGGTAAGCTACGAGGCCTGTGTTATGGATACCAGATAGTTGTTACACTAAACATTTATAACTTTAAATACATACATAGTATAAATATTAACACCAATGACTGTAGTACAAACATTCGTGCTAATCACACAAATGGATGCCCCCAGCGGGACTCGAAGAAGCGATCGCTGGCACAGCAAGTAGGGTCACTACAAACTGAGCCAAACATGTCGTCAAACAGCCACCACGTACCACCAAGGAAGAGATGCTGCAGGTCCCAGGCGGGCACGCGCACGAGGCCGGAGTCGGTGAGGCGCTGCAGGCCGCGCAGGTCCAGCAGGCGCAGGCGCGTGGCGGCGCGCAGCAGCCGCGCCAGCGCCTCGTCGCCCAGCCGGTACTCGCCCACCGCCGCGCGCTCCTCCGCCGCGCTGCACGCGATCGACACCTCCTCCAGCTGCGTCCACCCGCTCGCGCTCATCTGGAAACACAACGACCAACATACTCATTGTTCATTTTGTTCTGTCCATGCATCTATACAGATTATAGATAAATAAAATTGAAGTGTCTGTTTGTAAAGTCAAAATAACAGCTTTTTACTAAATGCATAAATGGAATTATATACGGTATTTATAAGAAAAACACAATTTTTATTTTTTTGCCTGTCTATCTGTTTGTTCTGGCTAATCTCCGAAGCGGCTGGGCCGATTTTGACGGAACTTTCACTGGCAGATATTTGATATTATAAGGAGTAACTTAGGCTACTTTTATTTCAGTAAAAAAATTAGGGTTCTGCTCAAAAAAGATATACCTATAGACGGACCCAAGCGAAGCGAGGGTGAGTCCCTAGTAAAACAATATTAATTGTTCTGTAATAAAACTCATTACAAATGTTGTGCAGTATATGCATTAAATTTTAACAGTAAACATTTATTCCACTAATTTAATTTGTGAATTTTTAGGTTTGAGTTTCAATTTGGTTCTAAAAATAGTTCAACTTAATTTTCTATTAAAATACTCAGTCGGATATGGAAAGAGCTATGTTATCACATATGCTAATACATTTCAATAACTTCTGCGCCGATGGATAGTGAATTGTGTATAGATTTGAATTTTGAAATTGAATACATACGGAATACCAACCAACAATATTAAAATGAAAAACAGTCCACCTTAGGCCTTCTAATATATTTTTATATATATTTTTGTCGACCACTTACTCTTTACCTCCTTTATGAATAACTAAGAATTATCATTTTCATATATTAGTGTACTTCTATCTTGTATATTAAACAATGTGTATATGAAATATTATTATTAAATCAAAATTGAAACTTAACGAATAAAGATTTTTTTACCTGTTGTGAAGCCGAAACTGAGGCGAGAACTAATTGGGCGTTGGCTGCCCTAAAAACCCTCATTTTCGGACAGCCCTTTTGTAAGGACTCCAGCGGTATTGGTGCTGGATGGGACGTCGCCAACGCACCTGATATATCTAGCACTTCGAGATTCGGACAGTGTGACTGTACATAAAAAAATACTATTAGAAATACTATATTACATGTACATAGCATATATATAATTATGATATACATAGAGTTTTATATTATCATTTACAATTCATTTTCCAAATAAAAAAAAGTAATTTAAAATCGGTTTATCCTTTTGGGTGTTATGATGCCACAGACAGACACACAGATATACAGATAAACACATGAAACTTATAACACCCCTGTATTTTGCGTCGTGGGTAAATACTTAACTGTATCTATATTTTTTACAAATAAAAAAAATGCCGATAATCATCAATAAAACGATATTGTTATAAGAAAGTAATGAAAAATTGAATTAAATTGAATATTTATTCTAAAAATCAACTAAATTATAGTTCTGGAAATAAAGTGTGTATAACTTGTATAATAAAGTGTGTATATTGGGTGTCCTATATTGGGTCATGAGAAGAAAATTTGAGACCAATTTATATCAATAAAAATAACTTTCTTACTGAAAGATACCAATAAATAAATATAATAATCAAAATACATAATATTAAATAAGAATACAGATGAATATAATAATATGTCTTACAGCCACTGAAGAAAGTATTTGCGGTAGCGCAGAGAACTTGTTGTTTGCTAGAGTGAGGTGCGTGAGCCGCTCGCCGAAGTTAGACGCGACGCGCGCCATCGACGCCGCCGACAGGCACGTGCTCGAACCGCCCGTCTCCGACTGTGGGACGATAATATGATAAGAACACTAATATTATAAATGCATGTTTGTTTGTTTATTATTTTTTTATACCGGGCAGTTCATCAGATTTGAGTGAATTTTGAATGAAGATTATAGATAATTAATTTTATTCTTTCAAAAACCAGTCTAGTATACTTTTATATTCAGTCATGAGAACTGAATATAAGTCAAGTTATTAATGTATTTTATTTAAATGAATTTTATTTTTTGTCTTGTTCATGTTGTCACAAGAGTAACTTTCATCTGCTAATTAAAAAATGAGCTGATTTAGTGATGTACGTATTCACAAAATTACGATTTGATAAGAAAAAAACAACAAACATAAATACAATTAGCCCTTTTCAATTTCAACAATAGAACAACATACCGTAAGCGACAGATCAAGGCGTTGCAAGTTAGTCAAGCCCTGCACGAGATCGAACAACTGTTCGGGAGTGATGCGGCTCCAGCCCGCCACGCTTAGCTCCACTAGTCCGGGACAGTAGTCCACCACGCACGCTAGCACCCACGAAATATTACACACCTTCCATTGAGCTGGAAATATTTATTATAAACTTTAAAAAAAACAAAGAAAGTACCTATATTATTGTAATTTAACTATATATATATTAGCTTTGGAGAGGTTATAGAACTGGGCTGTGTTCTGAAATACTAAAGTAATCTATACATATAATAAAATTGTAACTAAGCGGAATCTGTACATTAAATATTTTTTTGGAAAATCTTATTGAAATAAACATTATTTTTATTATCGATACAGAGGTCGAATCTATGGTTTTTAGAATTTTTGTCTGCTGTCTGTTGTTAACACATCACAGAAAAACCCACTGGAGGGATTTTGATGAAGTTTGGTATAGTGATAGCTGGTTATCCGGGTCGACATATAGGATACTTTTTACCGCGGGAAAATGTCTCATTTCCGAGAAAAAATACAAAAACTGCAATGTAAGAGTATACTAATATGTAAAACCTAAGAATTTGGTTTTTGTCATTTGAACGCGGGCGGAGCCGCGAGCAAGCTAGTGTCAATTATAAAATTATGATGAATTGTTTATGATAAAAAAATAATGTATGTGATTTATTTATCTTTTCTCTCTCTCTTTGTAGTGTATAGATAGAATATTATTTTAAAAATATCACATAATAAGTTAATAAAAATATAAACATTAAAGATTTATACTCGTACTTATGTATAATTAACAAAATACTACATTATAAACACTATGAAATTCTTATTAATGCATAGTGAATAATGTATTAATATATGTTTACAAATAATGATATTATTTATAATACCTACATGCAATTACGTCATTGCCTCACGAATAAAAACAAAAGTCTTAAGTAATTTAGAAAATGTTTCTTTTCATTTCGAAAATTTTAACAATTCGCTCGGCCTTATAGAACTTAATCAAGTCAGTCTTTCTACATAATATTATGGTTAACAAATGATATTTAGCATTGCACGTAATACGTGACAAAAATCTATATTATTTTATTTTTTTACTCTTTTTGTACAACTTGCCTATATTACAATTATTTAACCCCTTATTTTGTCGCTTTAATAAATAAATAATAATTATTATTATATAAATAAAAACGCATGTTCGTATGTTTGTGTGTGGGTTCTTCTCTATACACCTGCCGGCGTTAGTCTTATTAAATATGCATTCCCAGACCATTCAAGCTTAGGGACGCGCCCGAGCGAAGCGAAGGTAAGTCGCTAGTATATAAATAAAGTAGTAAAATTATGCAACAAAATCATCCTTAAACTATAAAATGGCCACACAATAAACACAATAATAAAAAACTTATATAAAAATCCTTACCAATATTTAAACTCTGACATTGCGACAAACGATTTTCGAGAAGCCAGACCAGTTTGTAGTCAGTTTTACATTTTTCGACGGTATATTGCGCAAGGTCTACATTCTTCCACAGTTCTGGCCTACAGCTGACACTGTGCCATAATTTACACACTCTACTCAATCTGAAAATAACGTAGCTTATGTTATGATGTTGTGTAACATCACGATTACATCATGTGTTAATTAATAATTTTTATCAGCAAATCTTAAAAATGTACATATTATGTTATATATTTATAGTCAATAAAATAAACAATAAAAATTAAAAAAAAACCTTCGATTGCTATTGTTTACAAAAGACAAACTCGTTTTATCAGACAATTTAACTGAGAACTCTGTTTGGTTTGGTAATAAATGTTTGTATTGATTGTCCATAAAAATTGATAAGCAAGATTAAGAATACCGATGCATACGTACATACTCATTGCATTGTTGATATATGTATGTACATATGTAAATAATATTATAGTTTAAGATGTAAATAAGATATAGGTTCATATATCTTACCTAACTATGGCAGGCAGAGTGCCTTGTTGGACGACATATTCGAAAATTTTTATTAAAATCTCCTCAGGCATGGAATGCGCCCATGGACTTTGCGGTCCACTTTCCTTACTTTCTGTTGCGTTACCTCTAGTTCTTTCAGTCTTTTGAGCTTTATCTGAAAATTGTTAAGATACATTGATAACAAAAAAAAGTGTGTGTGTGTACTTATGAGTATGTACGCACATAAGAAGTTATACTTCTTTGGCGTAACAGAACAAAAATAGCTTGAGATTTCATCCCGTATGTCACGCCTGTCAATTGGTAAAAAGAATAATAAATTCATAAAATAATTACATAAGGCATATTAGGTATGTTACAATTATATATTTTTAGAATATCATTTAAGGAAAAAATATAATATTATATGTGAGTATATCATTTGTCAGACAAATTATAGACATTCCCAAGGCGTCTCGACGTCGACGTCAGGCAGGCGGCCGATCGTAAAACTTTTGCCAATCCTATCAGCAGTACAGAAGATGTACTGCGCCGACCCCAAGTGATTGTGAAATAGACAGGGAGAAGAAGAAGAAGATATCGTTTGTCTGACAATAACAATGGTTACCATGGCAACAAACAGTTATCACCTAACTTCATCATGTCGCTTTTTGGCTGTCGGTGTGCGAGCGCATCGTAAAAATTTTATCTACTCTCATATTTTTTCTAAACGTCCCAAAAGAAGTATATACATATTACTTCAAAAAACAAAAGTAGACAAACAATGATCTACGCATTGGTATTTGCGTAATTTTAAACAAACAAACCTTTAGTTCGGGAGTTATTATTATTAGATTTCCTAGCTTTCGGGCGAGGCTGTCGTGGCTTGGTTGCTGCGACACTCATGACCGCTGCAGTGTCCCCTCTGGACGGGTCGTATTCTTCACCGGAGCTCGCACTCGCTACAGGTGAGGCGGCTCGTTTCTTTTTAGACTTTCTCTGCCCAATGTCAGCTATTGATGTTGGCGTTGGTGTTACCTATAATAGAGGCACAGAAAAATATTATTAGATTGTTTATACCTTTTAAATATTATGTATAATGTATACATATAATAATATTAATTATTGTTTGTCTATTTATTGCTATGTATAATAATAAGCTATTTTGTGCATAAGAGAAACCATAACGAAAACACGCTTTATAAATTAAAAAAGTGCTTAAAGTCCTAAATCTAAAATACTGTTATAATTTTATTAATTGAAACATTAATTTAAAATTATATTACCTCTCTTTTGGGAGCCAGGCGCAGCTATAAAAATGAATAAAGGAATTTGTGTTAGATTGTTATTAAAACTCAAAATATATTTCAATCAAAAATACTGAAAAAAAGGCGTTATATATATATATATATATATATATAAAGTTATTATAACCAGGGTTAAATTTAATGGAAAATATATAATTTTAAATGAGAGTTTTGATAATGCACATATACTTTTGATAATACACTTTCAAACAAAACAAACACGAGTAAATGACGGATGGTGAATGGTTAATAAATGACGGAGTTCTGAAGTAACCAACATAAAAAAATACAGCCGAATTGAGAAACTCCTCTTTTTTAAAGTCGGTTGATAAATAGATTGTAGGCATAATGGATGTAATGATACAAATTTAAGTTTCTTAAATTCACTTCAAATCTAAAGTACATATAATAAAATTGTAACTAAGCCGAATCTGTACATTAAATATTTTTTGGAAAATCTTATTGAAATAAACATTATTATCGATACAGAGGCCGAACCCATAGTTTTTAGAGTTTTTGTCTGTCTGTCTGTTACCGCATCACAGAAAAACCATTGGAGGGATTTTGATGAAATTTGGCATGGTGATAACTAGTTATCCGGGTCAATAGGATAACTTTACCGCGGGAAAATGTCTCATTTTTGTGAAAAAATACAAAAACTGCAATGTAAAAGTATACTAATATGTAAAACCTAAGAATTTGGTCATCTGAATGCGGGCGGAGCCGCGGGTAATGCTAGTAAATAATAAATTCAGTTTTGACCAATGACGATGTAATAACAATAACTGAACGTACTATTCGGTAAGATAGTGGAAGAGGCAGTATAGTGATTAGTGGGCAATATGGTAAACGAGTGTGAGAAATATAAAAAATAGTATACATATTTTCATTGTCTTATCTTAATATATTATTAAATTATCATTTTTATATAAAAATAATACTCGTACATTTATTTCGTGTATCTCGGAAACAGCTTTAACGATTTGGATCAAATTTTGTATTTAGATAAAATTTTGCTTTTAAGTTTTTTCATCCCCGAAAAAACGCCGAGCGAACCTCGGTCGCTCTCAGTACTACCCCCTTTACCAATATTAAATGAGCAATTGTTATATATAATATATGAAATTCGTCCAGGTACTATCTAATAATTTTGGAATTGCAATTGTAATATATTTTTTTGTGTATTATATTAAGTATTCATACAAAATACTTTTTATCCAGTAAGTAGATGAGTAAAGCTGCATAGCCTTGCATCTTCTACTATAACTCTATGCCACTTTCACCGAATCCTTTACTCTAAAGTGAAAGTCCTGTTAAGATTGGTACAGACGTTTATAGACTATTCAATGGAACCCATTTTGTGTATTAATTCCTATATTCGGAAAAATTTCTAAAAAAAATTCGGTAGTGCAACTCGGGTGATTTGTGAGCACCGCTTATAACTTTTAAACGGTGGTAAAAAAAAACAAATAAATTTTAAACAGCGTACCTATTCTATGAGTACGAAGTGTAGACCGATAATATTTGTTGATTTCCCAATCATCAGCAAAATAATGAAAATTTTGCTGTATCTAAACTTTTTAATCTTTTTGGGATCTATTTCTTTTATTAATTTTTCTTTAATAGCAATGTATACATACATATAACGCCATCTATTGAGATTTATTGGAACTCTTTTTTTCTTTGTAGTGATACCCCATGGTATGTACATATAACATTTGTATGGTATTCAGCCCTTTTTAACGTCGCACTGCTGGACACGGGTGTTGTCTCTATACGAGGGGGATCAGGCATCATAGTCATCATAGTCTACCACGCTGACCAAGTGCGGGTTAGCGGATTTTACATGTCTTTTGAAAACGTGTTAGGCTCTTACAGACATGCAGTCATGCAAGGAGACCCTCATGATGTTTATCTTTATCATGTTGGAAATGACCCCATCATACAAATAAATAAATATTTTTTGAAGATTTTGTTTGGTGTACAACAAACTATATGTATCCATAATATAAATAATTAAAAAATAATGTATTATAGATTCCTACTTGAACAAACAAAAATCAAGTCAATGGATATTATTTTTAAAACTGCCGATTTTTCATATAAATGAAGGACCTCTCAGACTCGGGGGATATCAGACCCATTAGAAAAGTTTATGTTATAGAGGGCATTTAACACAGAGAGTATTTACTGTTACATGTTAAGTCTGTCTGCCAGAGGCTGTTATTTTGACTGGCTGGTGTTGGCATAATTATTACACTTAACAAAACATGTACTCATTTTAAAATCTTGGAAAATTACAAAGGTTTTCTGTAGGACAGCAGATACTTTGCACAAAATATTAATTTGTAAGTAGAAATTTCCATGTAGACTTTTTTAACAGATTATGCCACAGAAAAAGGAAAAGGGGTACCAAAATTAAATAATTTTCATCTCACTGAAAAACCTGAAAGGGTGGTTAACTCTATGAAACTTTACATGAAGAAACCCAGCCTCATCAAAGAAGTAGAATCTAATTCCCTACCTATTTCTTAAAAAATCACCTAGTCCTACTAAAGAAATAGAAGCTAATCCTATCATTGACTGGTCGCCATAATAAGTTATTTAATTCTTATAAAATAGGTAATTAGTTTTTGTTAAATTACAGCTTTAAGATAGAAGTTAATTTAGTATCCATACAAATATTATTAAGGTGAAAGTGTGTTTGTTTGTCTGTCCTTCTTTCACGTCAAAACGGAGTGACGGATTGGCGTGATTTTTTGTGTGGTGATTTTTGGAGGGCTGAAGAGTTACATAGGCTATTTTTTACCACAGGAGATTATCTCATTGCCACGGAAAAACACGATAATACAGCCCAAAAAATATTTATGATCAGAATTAATTGAAACTTGGTATTAATAATGCTCTTCAGTATAATTACATAAAATACGTGTTTTAGCATTTTTCGAAATTCATCCCATAAGGGAGTAAAATAGGGGTTAAAAGTTTGTGAGAAACCTACTTTTTTTTGTTTTTTTTTATTAGTATTAGCGCGAGCGAAGTAGCGGGTTCTGCTAGTTTACTATAATATGTCAATGCTATGTGCACCTGTAGTGACATGCATATTACTAGTAAACATGTCCTCGCTTTGCTCGGGTGCGTCCCTAGGAACATGTTAATTTGTTTGAAGAGAGCCCTAATACTTTTTCAAAAATAAAAGTAGCCTAAATTACTCTTTATAACATCAGTAATCTGCCAGTGAAAGTTCCGTCAAAATCAGTCCAGCCGTTTCGGAGATTAGTCGGAACAAATAGACAGACAAAAAATTCAAAAATACTGTTTTTCTTGTAAATACTGTATATAATTTCATATGCATTTAACAAAAAGGTGTCATTTTGACATCACAAATAGACACTTGAATTTTATTTAACACTAGCGACTCACCCTACGCTACGCTCGGGTTCGTCCCTACGTTTAAACAATGTTTAGTATGGATTTCTCAGAGATATGTATTTTCTCGCAGTAAAAAGTATCCTATATGTTGACCTGGATAACCAGCTATAATCATACAGAATTTCATCAAAATCCTTCCAGTGGTTGGATGCGGTAACAGACAAACAGACACACAGACAGACAACAATTCTAAAAACTATAGTTTTGGCCTCTGTATCAATAATAATGTCTATTTCAATAACATTTAAAAAAAAAATTAATGTACAGATTGGGCTTAGGTAGAATTTTATTATATGCATAAATATAGATAGATCAATTTTGTTGTAAATACTTGGGAAAGGAAATATGAGAGTTAATAATAAAAAAAAAGAATATGAATATAACTCATACTGCAGTTTATTTGCTGCTTAGTTATATATCTTTTTAAAATGATGCTTCATTTCAATTTTTTTAGTAAGCTCATTATTTTTAAAGTGAATACAGAATAAACTGTATATTTTTATGTATCGTCATAATTTAAACATATGATTTATTAGTAGTACTTACTGCTACTAAAATTATTGATAAAGTAATTGTTAGTAATAATGACTATACTTATATTTAAAAAATATATTGTATAGATTCAATAGAAAATCCTGATTATTTAAGTTAAAAAAAATTATCAATATACTTTAAAGAGGAAATTACTAATTGTCTTACCAATCCTTTAAAATATAAATAATTATATCTTTCCTTATTTTTTTTATATTTAAATTAAGTAAAGATATTCTTCATTAACATTATATTTTGATTTCCACTCAAGCTCAATTTTTTTTTTATTTTGTGACTTCTAATGAAAATATCATGCTATTTTATTAATTTTAAGTATGAATATCATAATTATTAATTATTTATTTCAATTAAATATTATTATTCATACAACAAGCTAACATTCTTAATTATTGTAAAGCTTCAGGATCTTCCCCTTGTAGGGTTAACAAATAAAATGCAGGATACCTCATTGTCAAAAAAACAATATAATATAATAAATAATTATCAAAAGAAAAAGTATCATATGAAGAAAAAACTCATAAAATAAAGAGGTATAATCTAAATTTTGATGTAAACTACCTTAATGATAAATATTATTAGTGAAAGTTTTCTACCATGTTTTGTAAAATCTTGTTCCATGAGTTAATTTTGTGCATATTTATAGCATTAAACAAAGATTTATTATTTTTGCTTCAGCAGATATGGAATTGAAATTTACTAAGATTATTTTTTTGATATGTTATAAAGAATATACTGCATAATAAATATTTCATATATAATAATTGTATAATTCAAAAGTTAAAGACTTACCGTTTCTTGAACACTTGTCCTTCTTATCTTAATTTTTATTTTAGTTTTTGTGTCCACAATCTGACTTCGATATGTGGCTGCACACTCAGACTTTTTAGATTTCTTTTTGCTACGAGAACTACATAAGTCCAACATTGAACGAGGTTTACCACTACAAGGTATCACTATATGAGTTCTTGATTCCTTTGCTTTACTCTTTTTTGATGATAATTGACTAAGTTCATGACTGTATGGTTTACCACTTTGCCGTGGCATATTAATTAACGGTAACTTTATACTAGGCGTAAGGAGTTCATCTTCTGAACTTTCACTTTCTTCTTCTACATCTTCACCTTCTTCATCTTCCTGACACTCACTACTACTCACTAAGTTCAAGTTTTTACCACCTTTCACCTTTGATACTATACTATTAGAAGAATGCGTCCTTTTATGAGAATTATGAGAACGTTTTTTTCTTTTCTTTTCCTTTGGGATACATCCATTAAAAGTTGAATGGTCTGTATCACGTCTGGAGTGCTGTTTATGTTTTCTGTGGCGAGGCCGTGTCGGGGACGACAGCGCTCCGTTGACCACTTGCATCCTTTGGTGAGCAATATCGTCAATGCTCTGCTCAAAATCTGTCTCAAGCTTAACACAAGAAACACTTTCAAGTTCGTCTTGAGCTGTGTCAGAGTCAGAGTCAGAAGTTACTTGGGAGAGGTGGATATCAGGAAAAAGGTCCTTCCGGACCGAGAGCCTCATAGCGGGCTCAGCAGCCTCATAGCCACCGTTTACGGGACTCGAACGGCCCGACATACCGCCCGCTTCCCGCCGCCCTCACGTACCACTTCTACAAACCGCTCACCGTCACCTGTCCGTCGTGAAGTAAACAATCAGTTTGACACATCACATTTTCACTTTTGATGCTGAGACACTCACTGATCATTAAACGATTGTGTGATTACGTCTGATTGTCGATAATTGAAGTACCGATACGCTTCATATTTTTTAACTCGCACTTCTTGAGACAATTCAAAGCATCTTTTTTTCTTTACGTATTCGCATTTTAGGTCATCCATGTTCATGTAACGTTGTGATTGCGAAAAACAAAGTACAGATCATTTTCGCGGACACTAGTACTTTTATCTTTATTATAGACAGATTGATTGCACTAATTCGGACAGTATCTACCGATTCTTAATTATTTTTGTCCTCTGGTAGTTGATGAAAACTGTTGACCTTGTTAAAAGCTTATTAGGTTTCAAATTTTAGTCAACAGATGCAGACATTGTCACAAAGGTTGTACTTGTTCATCGTGTGTGCGCAATACGCTTGAAAAGACGTACATAATTGGTTTTAAGAAAAATAATATTATTGTTTTTTAAATGTAAGTCACTTTGTTTGTACAAAATAAAGGAAACTTTTACTCAAAATAATTATATATATTTCCAATCAAAATAGTGATTTTTATAACAATAAATTCTATTAATGCAAAAATTAAGACTTCATAACAAGCATAAGATTTACGTCAAAGAATTGTCAATTTCACCATAGTAAACTTTTCTATTTGGTAACCCCGAGAATATGATTTTAACCAATGGATGTCTTTATATTTTCTTTCGTTAAACGTTTCTGATTGGTTCATTCATTTCAGCACATAATATTGACCTATCAAAACACTTAAATATTAAGAAAATTACTAAATAACACACTATAAGTTGCTTGGTAGCATATTACTACGTTTATGAGTTGAAAAGCTTTTTTGAATAGCTCATAGGTGGCAGTAGTGGTATGATTTACAGAAATTCAATACAGAAATTTTAACGACACTAATTTTTATTGTTTCTCTCTCCTTCTTTCCCAAGAAACGCAACATATATTAATAATTTTCTTTCAAATACTTTGGTAATTGCTTGAAGAATGTATTGCGTTGTAACAATAGCATTAATACATTTGAGTCTCTGACCTCTTGAACAATATTGAAATGTGTGCTATCTATGACGTGTGTCGTATGTATTGTGTGTGATAATGATAACCTACACCGTCTTTCTGTAGCTAGTATATAAACGGGTGAGTCATATTTAAATTTATTTGCTGTATTGATGATCTCATAAAATTGTAGGTATTTTATAGTAGGTATTCTATAGTGAACATCATTGCCATGATTAGTACGTTATGTGATAGCAATTATTTGTCAATATCGTAATGCGTAGTTGTTTAATGATAAAATTTATATACTTAAAATTTATATCAAAATAAATATACCCTCATAGTTTAATTATAAATATCTATCAAAATACTGCTTTTGTGGTATAAATGAGACTATGTTTTAAACTAGTGAATTTCATGGTGTAAAACATAAACTAAAGCAAAATAACTTAGGATATTTTGATATGTCTACTAGCTTTGTTTTTTAAACTAGGTACCTATTTGTTTTTAATGTTTATAATTGGCCATATGTAGATATTGTTGGACCCTTAGATTATTTATATAATAATCTAAGGTTGAACCTTACACCAGCAATATAATTTAAACAAATTTAAATAAATTTTATTTATATTTACATGTATGTATTACCTAATGTAAAAATTAATCAAAAAAATATAATTTAATAATAATATAAAATAAATAAATTAAACCAATTTTGATTATTAAACTTAACACACACATATTATACATATAAAAATGGCACTACATAAATAATAACTACAAAGAGATAAAAACATTGAGCAATGACATCATCACTTGATAAAGCCACTTAAAGTTTATACAAGTTTAAGGAAGAAAATATATTTAATTTTAATACAAAAAATATAAATCAATTTTAATTCAATTAATATTATGAAAATTTAAAGCTCCATAGGAATATACATATTATAAAATTAAATCATATTATACATTTAAATCCTCTTAATGTAACATTATTGTACATAATAGAAAAACAATAATATTCCTTTTTTTCTGCATTAAAATGATTATAAAATTAATTAATAATCTTAATTTTTTGAAATTAAACCTGAAATTAATTTGTAAACGTATTAAACAAAAGGCTTTTAATAACTATGAACTCTTTTTTATATTACTGTCATTTTTAATTAAACTAATGATGAAAATATTCAAAGAAAATTACTCAACATTTTATTTAACATCGCTAAAAATGATGAGTCTTATACTCTAAAATATATAAAATATTTAGGTACATATATGTAAATTGATTTTAATAGTTAAATGTTAAATATATAATAATTTAAAAATGAAATATGTGAAATATCTACATAAAAGATTATTTTATATAAAAAAAACTTCTTTCAAAAATATAAAAAATCAACTAAAAGAAGTTATTATAATGTTTTATTTTTCTTGTTACAGATTTGAATTTATTAAATATAGACAACCACAAGTGGATGAAATTGAATAGTTAAGAAGGTGTTGAGAACTGACATTATATCGAGTATCAACTTTGCAGATCAGGTATTAGACAGTTATAGGGCTGTTTGTAATGTAATGTATGCGCGTGTGAGTGTGGTAGTGGAGTGGTGGTGGTGATCAGTCAGTGATGCTCGCGGTGATGCAGAGGCATGGTGGACGCGGCTGCGGAGCGCCGGGCCGCCGCCGCCGTGGGCTTTCAAGCTACCTCCAGCCTCACCAAGTGAGTACAATTATGATTTAATACAAAATACATATTATCTAAAAAAAAATTTTTTTATCATATTACATATAACACTTAATCAACATAAATGATCTATGTACACAATCTCTGTTAGGCAAATGATTTTAACATTGATTCCTTTATCACTTATTTATTTTATATTATGCAATTTATGCAATATATATGTTTGTGAAAATGTATCTGAAGTCATTGAACAAAATAGTATACGTTCATTATCCATTCTTATTCTTTATCCAAATTATTAATTCACCTTATACTATCTATCACTTGCCAATATGATTAGACCTGCATGATTTGATTTGCAGCAACTGGAGTTAGAATATAAGCTCTTCTTCATTAACAGTTATGCCAATAATGTTTAATTGACTACCTAGTTTCTTATCAGACTAAAGGCTCGAGCATCCTCTCATACTCCATTCAGGACTCCTAAGGCAATAAAGTTTAAGATATTATGGTTTTATTGCCCTCCGCGGCAGCATTCGTGGAAATCTCAGCGTTGAATTAGTCTGTAACCACTTAGCTTGCAGAACGTAGATATGTTCTAGTGTTTTATTCTCATTGTACATTTGATTGTAGCATCATATCTTTTGCGAAGTAATTGTTTGATTACATGTAAACCGAGCTGGGCACGCAATATGAGTTCGTTAATGAGAGTACCGATATGTTTCGTCACGGTTGTGTTATCAGGGCCGTGGGCGACGGTGTGCTGTATGTACACGGCTAAGTTTGTGTGCGTCAATAGTAGCGCTTCCAGGAAACGCGGCCGGATTTCTCGGAACCCATTGAATGTCGCACGCGTTTTCAGCAATGAATGGCTGCGGAAGACGCTTTCGTAAACGCTGAATGCTGTAGTTTAGAATACAGAAATATGCGCTCCTATTATCTTATCGGTCCATTACATATGCTTTCGTTATATTTCTATTCGTCCTCATTAATGTTTACCATAGCGATACGAACGACAGTTTATCGGGGGGCACGGCAGTGCCCCCGCCAAGTCGAGCAAACAAGTCGAGCAAAAAAGGGCACGGCAGTACCATCCTTTTCTCGAAGCGATTCAGAGCATTTTCCACCCCCCCATAACTTCGTTATGGATAAAGCTAGAAGCTTGAATTTTGAGTGACTAAGAGAACATAAGCTTGCCCACGGATGCGGATGGCACAAGACTGGTTGTCGTGGAAATTTTTGGGGGAGGCCTATGTCCAGCTGTGGACGTGTTTGGGCTGAGATGAACAGAAGCATGCGATGAGCACTAGCGGGTCAAATTTATGCATACACTAACATAAATAATGCACTCAGAACGTTAATATTAGGTAAATTTTGTTTTTTTAAATATTTTTTTTTAAATTAAAATTAAAAGTTTTGTTATTTGTAGATTCTGTTATCATGTGCGATGGCCAAGTCATTCTATTAATTAAAGAAATAAATATATCTAATATTAATACGGTCACTATAAAATGTTGTAACTTAACTAATTCGGTAACGATTTATGACAAAGTTGTCGGATAGATGCTTCCATAGATAGGTAATGAATAAATTAACCGACTTGGTTTTACATTATATCACATAGCTTTTTGCGGTAGAAGAATTAATGCGTTGCGAGACTTGCAATATTTTTACAGTTATGTTTTTGATGGGATTTGCTCTACAGAAAATTATCTGAAAGTTCCAATTTCAATTGTACGCGGAGAGTTTTGCTCATTTTACAAAATCAAGATAAGGATTGAAAAGGATTAGTTACGTTTCTTAAAAATCATTGCTACTAGGAATTTTTTTTTAATTATTATTAAAGTTTTATATGTTTGTAATAAAACTAGCGACTCTCCCTCGCTTCGCTCGGGTTCGTCGCTAGGTACGTTTTAGTTTTTTTAGAGCGGAATCCTAATTATTTTTCTAAAATAAAAGTAGCGTATGTTACTCCCAATAACATCAGCTATCTTGCAGTGAAAGTCTCGTCAAAATCGGTCCAGCCGTTTCAGAGATTAGCTGGAACACACAGACAGACAGACAGACAGACAGACAAAAATTTAAAAAAATGTGTTTGTCTTACAACTACCGTATATAATAATATACCGTATATAATATAATACCGTATATATCGCGTAAATCTAAGAAAGTATTACCGTATATAACTTCATATGCATTTAGT